TCAAAACAGACAAAGGGTTAGAAACTTTAACAATACTTTAGTTAAAAAAAAAACATTTGAGCCTAAATATTCAGTGCATTTGTTCAATGATTGTCATGCGAGATAAATTAACAAAAATTAGTAGTATAACGGAAATTACAAAGAATCCAGATGACTTTTTAATAAATAAAAATACAAAAAACAGTATTAAAATAAATACACAAATCCATTTACAATTATCCAAAAATGAAAGCAATTAATTAATACCTAAAGGTATGGAACAGGTAAATTTTATTTTACGATAAACTAATATATGTTTTACCACATATGCGTAAAATATTGGCAACCTTGAATGAAACTCCTGCTAGACCATCACAGTTCATGCTTAACTTGATTAACCCAAAATGTTCATTCAAATTTTCCCTTGTTTCTTCATTTGAGGTCCAGGAGCTTAATAATTTTTTAAATAATTCCAGAGCTCTAGACTTTTATTATGTAAATAGTAGAATCGGTGCTGCAATGTAATAGTTTTACCATTGACCAACATACTAAATACTAAATAGGTGTTTTCTTATTGTAGTAAATCCACAGGTTTTTAATGTATTACACGTTGTGCCAATTCAAAAAAAGGGTGTAATGTCTGATCCCAATAATTATCCACCCTTTTCTGAAAAAAATTATGCATTCATTATAGTGACTGGCATAGTGGAGAGCTTTGAGGGAGGGGAGTATAGTAGTATATTGTATATAGACTCACTCACTCATTAACTTGTCTTTTAAAAATTTGAAATAAATAATAAAACATTTTTTTATGGAATATTGTTTTTCTTCTGTAGAGGAATGTAGAGGATACTTGATAGCGGCCACTATTTGATTGTGGGCGATATGTTCCTTTTCTTTACTCATTTTGATGCCTGTTTGGCTTTGTATTTTATGTATTACGTTTTTATACCTATTTGTTGTAGATTTTATCCAATCGTATACATTTTTTTTTACTCGGTAGTGCTGCATGTTAACACTGTCAAATAAAGAATCTATCATACAGGATTTAAAAAGTACGGTAATTTGGATTTGTTGGACAATTTAACTTATGCGGTTCAATATTTTCATTTTTAAAACATTATTTCATAATTTTTTCAAGAATGCAATACGTGCTTTATTCATTACAAATTATTAACGATATAATAATAATAATAACCTCAAAAACTGTTCCTCATTACCAAGGGATATTTTATTTGAAGTGAAAAAAACTTGGTTATTTATAACTTTAACAAAGATATAATGATGGTTAAGTTAAAAAATAATCAGATTTTAAAAATGTTTATATGAACTCTTTTTCTTGTTTTCAAAACTACTACCTAGCAGTTATCTCATTAAAATAAAATTATACTCTCGTTATATTTTTTTAAAACATATTTTCTTGTAAAACTTGAAAAAAAGTAACTCACTTTATCAGATTCTTAATCTAAATTTGCCTGTGTCAGGTAGTTTATTTCCTTACAGGCAGAAACTATATGTATAGTTCGATAACCACATGTATACAGGTAAGGCTAAGGTTATCAGCTTAATTTTATAACAATCAAGACCAACGAATATTTCTAAAACAGTCTTTAATAATAGTTCAGCTTTTACATTGCCGATAAGTAGTTGAAATTAATGCACACGTATCTGCGTTAAGTGACGTGACAACATACCTTGCACTCGAGACGTAAGTTTACACGTTAAACATAGTTCTGTCAGGTAAATTACTCAGTCAAAACATGAAAATGTAATTACAGGGTTATACCGAGCAAAAACATAAAATCAAATGTCAGCCGTGAACGAATTTTAAACTTATGCATTTCTGCAAAACCTTGGCATAGATAGGCCTTATACGACTATAACAAGTGTATCCTAAAAATGCTGTCTAATTTATTATTACAATATTGACCATTGATAATTTTTCTACCAAATTATCTTCGGAATTTTATAACTGCGACTTATGGTTTATTGCAAAGAAAATGCAAATTTTTTATTTCGAAGTAGAATTTAGCAAAATTTACTGGGTTATGATGCAACCCATAAATTAAAAATTAATAAAGGTTGTTATTTAGGAGTTAATAATGGTTTGATGTAATCTTTCATTTTTAAATAATTTCAGCTACGAGGTCACCATTTAACATTTTTATTTATTTCAACTTAATTTCCTTTAGGTTTGTTTATACCGAATTTGTATACGTTTTTGCATAATTTGACATTGTATGGGTTTCAGCATTTCAAATAAAATTTCAGTCAAGTAAAAGGCATTGTTTTAACAAATTTGCCCAATAAATTATTGGTGTTTCCATACTGCATAGTTTTTCCATGAAACTTGTTTTAAGAGTATTTGCCATATCACACCAACTATCGAGGGTTGTCAAAAATCTCAACATCTTGCAACAATTAATCTGCAACACTGAAAGTTGCGGCTTACTGGGAATATTTTAAACTCAAAGAGTTGTTGGTTTGCGTAAACCTAATGATTTCTGATCTAGAATATAAAATACGGATTATAATTTTCAAAACCAAATAAGCAGATTGCCTTTACTGTCTAATGCAAACCAATCCATAAAAGATATAACAGGTGTATATCAATCGCAAGGACAGTACTTGTATACCAATTAGCACTCTCATATTTGTTTTAAAATAAATGTAGTCTTACACAATTCGCTATACGAGCCAGCATTTCTTAGTAAGAGATTCCTTCATATTTCTTAAATATTTCTATTGATATGAAAATTTTAGAAGTAAAAATTGCTAGTTTTTTTTAGGTTAGGATTTTTTGTTTCTAAACGAGTAAAACTAAATCTATGTAAAAAAGAATATAGAAACGTATAATCCAAAGAACTATGACGTTAGCGCCAAAATTTCCCGGCCTGACATAGATGCAGCTCCAGTATCACGAAAAAACTTTGTCTTCTTTTAAATATATATCTCAATAGGCTGTGAAAAAAAAAATTGAAGTCTTGCGTGAAATAGTTTCATATTGACAGTATTTTAAACAAGGTGTGTCCGAAAAAATGTCGCAAATAAAACAAATTGAATATAGAGCAGTGATAAAGTTTTTGACAAAAGAAGGGTTAGCACTTAAAATTATTAAAGAAAGGCTGGATGGTGTGTACGGTCAAAGTTCTCCTTCGTATTCTGTTGTGAACGAATTGAAGATGATTCAAGAACTTGTCGACCAGCGGAGGTCATAACGGAAGATATTGTTGCGATTGTGGAAGAGGAGGTGACATTGAGTGATCGACGTTTAAAGGTCAAGGAAATCTCAGAAATTACTAGGCTTTCTGATGCAAGATGGGTTCCTAAAAACCTTTCCGCTATTCAAAAACAACGCCGTGTCGAGTGTGCGAGGCCTTTTTTGGAACTCTGTGGGTCGGAACCGAAGCCTGTGATAGCAACTATAGTGACCGAAGATGAAACTATGGTTCTCTATTATGACCTTGTATCGAAAAAAGAATCAATGGAGTGGCGTCGTAAGGGTGAAGCAAGAAAATTCAGAGTCTACCAGTCAACAAAAAAGGTGATGGCCACGATATTTTGGGATTATGAATGAATTTTTTATATAGATTTTAAAGAAACTAATACCACTGTCAATGGTAAATATTACGCAACATTATTACATAAATTGCGAGACAGCATACGTGTAAAACGATGCATAATAATGCACCTGCCCATACTACTGGTGTTGCACAAGCTGCCATTTTAGAGTGTGGGTTCCAACAGATAGATCATCCTCCCTATAGTCCAGATATGACCCCAGCGACTATTATTTGTTTGGATATTTGAAAAAGGACTTACGTGGACGGTGGTTTAACGACGAAGTTGAGTTAAAAGAGGCTATTTTAGCTCATTTTGCAGACAAACCAAAATAATATTTTTTTAAATGGATTGACTTGTTAATAAAAGGGTGTAATAAGTGTATTGAAGTTAAGGGGGATTATATTGAAAAATAATAAAAAATAGTTACCCTACTTTGTTTCTTTCATATTCAGGCCGGGAAATTTTGGCGCTGCCCTCGTAAGTATAAATGATAAACTTCTAAGAAAAGTAAAATAATTGACCAACATCCTTTGTTCGGTTGACATAGTTTACTTTTTTTAGTGAGTCAGTAGGACCCTTAATGTTATTATTTTTTCCCATTCTTAACAAAAAAAGTATCTTAACAACGTATCCATTACATCATCATTATATTCATACAAAAAAAATGACCTTGGAATCTCTTCTGACGTACGTCTCAATGACGTAAAAGAGATTTTGCAGTACTCCATTATAGTAATTTAAAAACAAAATTAGAAATAAATTATAGTTTTGTCGTCAAATTCGAATGTGATACACAGTGGGTCGCTTTCATTAATTGACTAATAATTTGGGCAAATTATCAGTTACAAAATAAGATGTTTTGCGTCAGAAGCCGGTTATTTTTAAAAATAAAAAAAATGGTGGTTGTGTAGAGGCCATGTTTGCTGCACCCGTGTTTATAATAAAGGATATTCGCCAATGTGAAGATTATTCAACCATGAACTCAAGACCTGGCTAATTCGTTTTAAATATCCATTAATAGCGTTTGTTTTTTAACGATTAAACTTTTTTAGTCTAAGCGTGGACAAAGCAGCATAAATTAGCATTTTTAACAAGTCTGTTCGGAAGTATGAAAATCCCTATATGGTTTACGTACGGGTGCCACGTTCAAGATTACCCGCACTAAGCAAAACCCTACCAAAATATCTAAATTTAGAATAATTAATAGGAGTTAGGTGCCTTCTAACGACAGTGTTAAAAGGTTTTACTATAATGAAAAAACAACTCCGGACCCAAAGTAACATTCTAAAAATACCCTTTACTTTAATAGACTCTTATCTTACGGATTATTCTTTGCGTAAGAATCTATAAATTCGTCAAATTGAGTTCGCGTTTCTTTGAAATTAATCCCATCATAATTTTCTTTGACAGGGAACGGGCTACAATTTTAATTGGGAAATAATAATCGGATGAAGTTTTCCAAAATTATATTAAATTAAAAATTTTGTTATAAAAACAAGTCGGGATAAATAATGTTGGGCTCTAACATACCCTGTTGTGTCAATAAATTAGGTAAAATATATTCTATTGAGAATTTGTATAGACAGGATGAAATATTACGTAACCTAACAAATAAATGAAAAAGCAGTCAAAACTGAAATTTGCCTCAAACAAAATTAAATTTCATATTTACAAAATCATCGTTAAATAGATACAGCCTGTCTGAAATTGCAGTGGACCAAAACAAGATTGTAAATTTTGTTCATTTTTTTGGACTCAGGCGTGAAATATAATATTAAACGCGTGGATAATTAATAGGTAATTATGTTGCACGAAAGATAATTTGTAAGCAAATTTCAAATTTGATTAATAGCAAAGGGCAGTAGTTATACATGGCATCAAATTAAATGTGCGTTTAAATAAGCAATCATCCTCTAACGGAAATCGAACAATTGTATTATATTAAATATTTTATTAGCCAGAAGACCCATTAACAACTTGCAACCGTAACCCCAATTTTTTAACAAAAAAAATCAGTCGTTTATCATCGCGTTCCTCAATACGCGGTCCGGCATTTTGGTTTAAACATTACTTTGGCAACAGCGATACATACATAAATAGCTATAGTATATAGCGCGATTCATGTTGAGTTTGCTATTAAAAATACTGAGAAACTAGCAAAGGGAACTTTGCCAAATTTAAGGCCATAAGAAGTGATAACCTCATTTTTAGGAATATTTCCAAAAATGCAGCGATTACAAATATCCTAGACAAAATAGTAAGTAACTTTTCTAAGCATTAATTAATATTTTTATATAAAAATCTCTACTATGTAAAAGTTTTATACGATTTAGTATAACATATAGGGTGCCACAAAAATATGGATATTTCGAAAATTTAAAAGTGATGAAAGCATTCTTTTGTATAATTCGACATTCACGTATTTGATTAACTCAAAAAAGGAAACCATGCTTCTGGCTCAAGCATAGATGGAGGTATTCCATTTTATTTTACGTAGTAGTTTATTTCAAAAACCATAAGCGATAGATAGATAGACATACACACAGGTAGGTCTTGACAAGAGTTACACCTAGTTTTGCCGACATATTTTAAATATCACACATTGCGGCCGCAAATTTGGTAGTGCTAATTCTCCAGCACTATTAATGGGACACTCAACTCGAATCGCTCTGTATAACAAATCGAAAGAAAGTATTTACAATAAGTCTTTTTAAAAAGTCCAAAATTGATTATTAACGAATTAGGAACAACACGTAAAAATAAGTTAATAAAAAAATGTATCACAAATATTCATTGATCAATACTGAGGTATTTACTTCACTATTTGTTCACGGAGGCACTATCGTGGTTACGATTTCACCCTCACTGTTTTTCTTACGATCCACCAAAACTGGAGTCTTAGGAATGGAATCCGGCAATTCCGATGCTCTGATCGTCACCCTCTCCCTAGGTGGGGTTAGGAGTTCGTCGTTGGGTCTGTGACGTAACTCTGGCTCCTCGGTGTCGAGGTCATCTTCCGAGGGGATCTCTGGATGAGCCAGGGGCGTGAATGCAGTTAATATGGGCGTGCTGTCTTTGTCCTTCGATTTGCCATTTTGTCCATTGATTAACGGAATGTGTTCTGGAATGTTCGACGCCTTTTTGCCGTTTTTCTCATTCAACTGTTGAATGCTGTTGAGCGGTTTCATCTCTTCTCCGAAGCCTTGGTCCTTTTCTAACCTCCTTTCATTCGATCTACTATTTTTACGTTTCTTTATCAAAAACACTACGAAAACGATCGCTAACAACAAACCCACTGCCACTACGGTGTAGACCGCGTATGAGTTTTGATTCAACGCCGTGGCCTTTTCCATTTCGCCAGTTCTAGTGTTATTGGAGAATACTTCGACGTCACCAAGCTTGTCAGATTCTTTGAGGAGCGGTTGCTCTACTTCTTTGAGTATTCCTGCTTCAGTAACTTCCGTGGCAGGGACAGTGCTAACCGTGGAAGTTGAACCCTCGGTTGTGGTGGTAGAAGCTGATTCCGTAGGCACACTGTCTCCTTTAATTCCGTGATAAATATCTTCAGCAAACATTTTAATTTGAACGGCAGGATCTGGCAGCGGAGATGCGCCAACTTCATCCTGGGCATCTACAGGAGCTGGAGTTGAGCAATTTACGTGGCACGCTGGAATTTCGGGGATTTCCACTAACCCGAAGCCGCTACCCTCTTCAATGTCGCCGCTACCTTCTTCCTCAACTTTATCCGTTGTTGTAACACCAGCAGTGTTCAACAGCACTTCTTCGTGCTCTATCGGAAATTCTTGTTTATCGTCGATTATAGTGTTGCCGTCAACCTCATCCTCTTCGCGTAAATGCGGGACTGTGGTTTTGGAATTTTCAGCGAATATATCATCTTCTGCGCCAGAACCAGCTTCATCGTACATCATCAGATCGTACCAAGAGCAGTTGACGGTTTTTATATCGCGACCAGCCAACGCTTCAGGCAAACGACAGTTGACGGTTTCAGGAATAATTATACCTTCTTCTAACATCTTGTTAAAATTTGGTATGTTGTAATTCGGACAGTTGCAGTCTAAGGGATTGTTATGCAGGTGCAATACTTTAAGGAACTTTAAACTCTCTACGTCTTTAGGTACGTTGACGAGTAAATTATCGGAGATATCGAGAACTTCGATGTTCTCTGGCAATGCCGAAAAATCTATGTCTTTTAAGCCGTTGCTGTTGATTTTCAGACTTTTTAAATTGGGCAATGCCGGCAGTGACGACAAATCGATGGTGTTATGGGACAAATCCAAATGTTTCAAATTTTTAAGATACTTAATCCTTGGATCGACTTTGTCTACGAATGCGCTCGAAACTGTAAGGTTTATAACCAATAGGTGTTGTTTTGGATACATATTTTGCAGAAATTTAAACGATTTTGCTTGAATGCCGCCTTGGTCAGTGCAAATGGTTTCATCGGGACATCTGAATACGGAAGCTCCGCGAACCACGCAGATTGATGTCACAAATAACACCGCCGTTTTCAACATGGCTCCACACCTGAAACAAATTACAAATTTGTTTAAACGGAAAAAAAATTGGCCTAAGCCCCACTGTAGCTCGGAGTACATCATAATAACATTTGATTTTTTTTTGGTTATTTGAGAACTCCGAAAAAATAATAACGTGTAGGTGGTCGTTGAAAAAGATTTTCATATTAATTTCTTGATGGTTTCCTTACGTCGAGTTGATTGAAGCACGCGCGGTTTCAACGTTGATTGGTTAAAATTGCTGTGGGTAACCACAAAAACGTTTCTGCAATTGGTATGTATGTAATATCGGACTTCCGCAAGGTTCTATACGCATCTTGATGAATGCACAAGGATGAAGCTTAATAATAACCACAAGTTGTTAAATTTAATATACAATCGGACAATTTAATACTGCATGTGCAAGCATACTTTTTAAACAATACATTACTATGCAAAGCATGGCTTGAACAATTACACAGGGGTTGAGTTACCGAGTATTATTATAATGAATGGTAACCAATAAATTCACATCAATTCATTGTTTTCTTCACGATAAGAAATATTTTCAAAAAGTGAATATTGAAAACTAAAGAAATCAAGGAATACACTTAAGATCAACTTCAGCCAAATATAATCTTCGTTAGCACAAGTCACAATCTGTTGCCGACATTTGACTTGTAGCTTTAGTAGTGTTAATAAGTTAACTTCGAACCTAAACCAAATGTTAAAAATAATAGGGATTGGTAAATGTGTAAAAATTTGTGTACTATTCAAAATAATTGTGAACAAATTAACAAATAACATCCCAAAACTAGAACGTGTATTACATATATAAGGCTATAAAAAGGACAAAGATCATATCAATATATTACCAAGTACCCTAAAAAAAGTAAACATTTTAATAAATATAAAGCCTCTTACGAGCTGCATATTTGAGATGATTGCAGATTGAAAAGGTGTTTGTTTGACGTTTTAGTAAATCTAACACAAAAAATTAATAGAAGAGGACTGTTAGACATCACTGTTTAAATTACTAATATTAAGATTAATCTTATTCCTAGTGTTTATTTTCTAATATTGTGGTTTCTATTTAGGTACACATTTAAAAAAATTTTATCATTCGCAGAATTAAAAAAAAAATGGAAAATCGAAAGAAAACTGAAATTCCATTATGAGATTCTATCTTCCACTATCGGCCGCTAATTTTTGCGAACCCTATATATCGATCTTTCTTATGAGGTGCAAATTCACAAGGAGTTAAAATTAGTAAACATATTACATTAATACCTACTAATTATTGAAAAGAAAACCATAAACTATGCTGATAAATCCTCAAAAGATGAAATTGCGTTTTTTTATTAATTTATAAAAAAAAATAAAAGTCAATGTCTATAAGCTTACAAAATTTTTACTTAGAAAAAACGGAAATATAGTAAAAATGACAAAAAGTAATGGTTAAAAAGAAATTTTTTTCAACGAGTGGCAAATTATATTGCAAACAGACATTTAATTTAATTCTAAAATCAAAGAATTTTAAACTGCAGTACCAATCTCCTTCTTTGACGAACCTGAAAATTAGGAAAAAATAATCGTATCTCCAGAAATCTTCGTCTTAAAAAACTGTTCCATCAAAGACTATTTTTAATATAAAGAAAAAAAAAGCGAAAATGTTATGGCAATCCCCAATTTTTAATGTTTGGAGATATACTTTTCTATTATGTAAAATAAAATAAATGTCAATGTTTAGTCTAAAAAATTTGTTGTTGTTTGTTATTTCAATTTTTTTTTCAATATTATGATTTATATTTAAACCTTTAAATAAATGTTATTATTATTCGAAGGTTCGAAAGAAAACAAAAATCTTATTATAATGAGATTGAAAATGGCCTCTAATTTTCACGAATTGTGTATAACAATCTTCCTTATGAGGTCTTAAATACCTATTAATAATTTTAAGAAAATCTTGAACTATGCTGATAAAATACTAAGAAGTCAAATTGCGAAAACATAATTTTTTGTTCATGGAAACTAATTTATTACCTTTTCAGATATGCTTGTCGCTTATTAAAAAAACGGTATATATATCAGCTTAAAACAAATATTTAAAAAAGTGTAAAAATAGTAAAAATGACAAAAATAATCTTTCTACTCTAATTAATGAATAAAAAACTTTTTTTTCAACAAGTAGTAGTAGCAAACAAATACGTAACAACGTAATAAATCCAAAATCAAAGAATTTTGAACTGTAGTACAAATTTCTTTCTTTGACGATTATATCCCTACAAATAAGGAAAAAAATAACCGTACATCTGGAAACTGTTCCAACAAATGCTTTTTTTTAATCCAAATCCAAAAAATTGCGAAAATATAGCAATCCTTAAATTTAATTTTTAATCAACAAAATATTTTATTACAACGTATACTTGTTTCCTAAAATTTTTAAAAAAATGTAAAATCGAAAATTAAACTAAAATTTTATTTTAATGAGATTGAGATTTGTATTTCAAAAATTTTTTTACGGTGTAAGTTGTAAGTTCGAAAGGAGTTAAAATCAGCGACCGTATTACATTAAAATACTCTAATTTTTAGAAAAAATCTTAAATTGTGCCTGATAAAATTCTAAACAAGTGAAATTGTGTCGTCGAAACTTTGCAAAAAAAATTGCAATCTCTTGACTTCAATCTTAAATCTGAATTAACGTTAAAAATAGCTCACACCGACAAAAAAAGCAAGTATTGCGCATTTGTTCTGTTTCATTTCTCGCTATCTAATCTTAATTTACTCAGGCGACGCCATGTAGGCGATAAGAAGAAGGATCGGTGTGTTCGAATTGACGCACCTATGCAAAAAAACTTATCTACACGCTATATAGAAAATAATAGTACGATAAATAGGAAAAAAGCAAATTTAAACTAAGGCCGGTATGTTGTCAAACAAGAATATTTCAAATATACCGAAGGTTCGTCAAATTCTAAAGCCAGCTTATTCTATTCAATTAATCCTCACTCCAACAATAGAAAGTTTGAGAAATAAATGAGCACTTCGTTTGACAACCTTGGTTTCACTAGAATTGAAGTCGGAGTGTATTAGGGGGGCATTAAAATCGCGTGTTGACGATTTGAATAAAACTACTCGCTATAATAAGCCAGAAGCTGCAACCATATGTTGTGTCGGACGTAACAAAGGCTCCCAAGGTTTTTTTCCTTCTCAACTGAATGACGAACGCCTCTCGAGCACTTTTAAAGTACCTCGATTTTTTTTTAATATCATACACACACACGCATATATGCAACAAATAAATATAGGTCATTGTGATAACAATTTTATAGCGTATCAAAAAAAAAAAAACGCCAATCAAAAAATTAAATACCTGAAATAATCTGAAATGTTTGTGCCGTTTTTCCGCGCAATAATAGCCGATGGATAAAAAACTTGTTTTCAACAAGCGTAAAAATAAAAAAAACAAGTTTTTAAAAATTTGATTGTTGACAAAAAAATTGCGAAAATATATATTATTTTTTAGATTTACTTTTCGCTTATTTAAAAAAAATAAATGTCAATGTCTATAGCCTTATAAAAATGACAAAAATTATGTTTCTAGTAGACAGCTAAAAATTCAATAATGACGAACATTTAATGGATAAAAAAACTTTTTTTTCAAATCCCCAGTGTATATCTAGAAATATTAGTTTTAAAAATTTATTTCAACAAAAGCTTTTTTAATCTAATTTTTAACAAAAAAAATAGTTAAAATATTTAATTTTTTTACACATATTTTCCATGTATGTATATATTTTTAGCAGATAAAAATTGCTGTAAAAAATGAATGTATTTTTAATTGACAATTTTTTAATGGTAGACACGATGCAATTTTTTCGAGCTACACGGGCCTTGATTATTTTGTTGGAATTGTGTTTTTAAGGTCATTTTCTTAAATTTTAATACACTAAAAGACATTTTTTTACCACACATATGGGTGCATAAGAAAAATCCATAATGCCAATACTAGAAACAAGAAAAATAAGGATGTTTTTTAAAATACTGAAATCCAATGTATCCAATACAATTCTGTGCAATTCCCTTACATTTATGGCTAATTTAGGTTATATATTGAAATACGTTTTTTTTTATTTTACACATTTTACAATCCTAACGTCATCTCTGTAGGAAGTTCTGCATTGCTTGTTAAACATTTTTTGCACTTAGATTTTTCCTGTGCGCTTTCTAGCATGTAATAAAGTTATTTTTAAACTTTTAAGAGTCAACTTTTGTGATTTCGACTTTATTTACATTTTTCGTACAAGTTAAACCTATAAGTTTATGATAACAAACGCTTTGCGCCAAATTAGCTGGCAATTTTATCTGCCAAATTTCTTGCAATTTGGTAATTTGTTTGTTTGTTCCAATATTCACATGAGAAAATACATGTAGAAATTGCATCTTGTTTATCAAGCTTAATTAAAAAAACTCTTTTACTAAAGCAATAATAAATGTGAATTAAAATGATGAAAATCTGTTTCTGGTCGACAGCTACGAAGAGCAATATTTTTTCCATAATTTTGAGGCAATAAGATTTTGTTTCATTGGCATTTTGACCACTATAAATATCAAATTAACATTTTTTAAAAAGAATATTGACTTCAGTGACACTGTATATTAATATTTTGCGCCGGTATAATTAATAGATCTAATTTGCAGATTTGGTCATGGCAAGCAATTTGACATTACCGCGATATGATTTAGAAAAACCACACAAGGCCAGAGCAATCGAGGCAAAGTTCACCATAAAGTGTGGTGGTGATCGCTGATTAAATTTAAACGAAATGGTTGTAAATAAGGTCACCTGAAAATAAAGTTAAACACATAGACCAAACTTATCTTGATGTAACGGTTCGAAAAAGTGGGTAAATTTAACCATAACCATGAAATTGTTAGATCTCGCCATCCTTTCAAGACCGAATAAAATTGGCATGCATTTTAACAGGAACAGGGACGTAGCCAATTGATAGACAAAAAAAAAGTTACACGAGATCCTTTATCGGTCTATAGCGAAATTAATTTTTTCTCAAAATTTGCGAGGTTGCTTAAGTAACCTAATACGATGTGAATTAAGATAAGAATTTGAATATTGCTCGAAGCTGACAATAGCGTAAATCCGGACCTGTGCTATCTACCTATGCGGTGTCTGTAGAAAGTAGATCGGTACTATAAAAAATATTGCATGGAAGTTTTAGCCTCCGAGAATGAATGTCACTAACGAAAGCGATAGCATAGACGATAGAGATATTTAGGTTATTTCAAGTCCCTCGAAGGGGTTTAAAATAAAAGAAAAAATAAGAAAAGTTTAATCAATATATCGGATAACACAAATAAACTATGGCAATGAGTTTAACAAAAAAATGCCATCTAAAACATTGACTAATAAATTTTGGAGCTATCCTTTGTCATATAGAGACCAAAGTTCGTTATTTGTTCAATGAAGATTTTGTATAAAATTTCGAACACTTGTATCATATTTTATTTATTCATGGTACTTAGTTTAAAACTCTTAACTTGTTCTATATACTCCATACTCCTCTTTTTACTTTACTTTAAATAGAAATTTGAAGGGTCAAGTAGTTACGCCGGCACAATATTTATTGCATTGTTTGTCATTGTTTGTCATTAAATTAGAATAATTGAATAAATTTACAGAAATATATGGGAATACATTCGGTGTAACCTTGATACAGCGGGACCTTTAACCGTTGAACTGAACATGAATTAAAATATTTAAAGAAATGATAATGTGTCAAAATCTCGTATTAATATAAAAATATACTTACCGATTTAAATAGGCACAAAACGGGAAATTATTTTCCGACAGCACAGAACTGAGCGGCACTGTATACAGTCACTATCACTCCTACCCCTAAGAGATATGGAATATATCACATTATTTTATCGATAAGTGACGTTCAACGTAAAATATATACTGGTGATAACGAGCCCAGGTCAACCAAATTAATATCGATGGATTCGTGAATCGGTTTTGGAAAAAATTTCTCGTCTATGCGCCGGTACGAAGAAATTATTTAAAGTTCGCGCCGCGACTGACTAACTGAGAACGAATAAAGCTCGACGGTACGAAAGTAGACACGAAACTGTGTTACGTAATCATTTATACCGACCACGGCACTCAAAAAGGGTGGGAGATTCATGGTGTGAGTGCAACTGCACGTCTTTTTTTTCAAAAATCTCACCGGTTGACTTTGGGATATCATAACCCTCTGTAATTATTATTTTTTAAATTTTTGTATTATTGTCAGTAAAAGTTTTCTTTGTATTCCTATGTAAACAAACAAAAAATATACATTGGAATATTTTTGTTACTTTTTTTTCCTTAATTATATAAAATTAACATTTTCTAAATTTTTATTTCTTTATTATTAAGAGATTTTTTCCTAGCACCCAGATAAAATAGCAGAAACAATATACATAATAATTTAAGTAATTTTGATTTTATTTACCACATGTAATAAAACTGCCTTTCATAATATAAAATAAAATGCTGAAAATACTTTTTGTATACATTAATGTAGTTACAAAGATGTTAATTAATGAATAAAATGTTACAAATAGTTTGTATTTAGACTACGGCAGAACTAATAGGAATGTCTACACTCGTATGCAAATCTTTTAATAGTTTTACAAATAATTAAACGTATTTTCAAAATTATAAACATTTTCTTCCAATTTGAAAACTGACCTAAAAATTTAATTCCAAAATTTGTCGCTATAATTATCGGATAACAAATTCTAGGATTAGTGAGAAATCTGTTTTTCTAGTAAATAATAATCTTGTATGTTGATTACATTTATTTATTTATTTATTTTCTTTCTTATTCCATTTAGAAATTATTATTTGTTATGATCTCTGGGTCAATGTTATACTGTGAAGACATTTAATAAAGGTAAGGTATATTAAAAAAAAAGCGATGTTAGGATAGAATAGCATAAATTTTTTTCGGATGTCTTGATTTGCCAAATATAGAGTGCTAAAGTTGTTTATAAATGGGCTTTGTATTGGAATCTCAAACACCTTTTATACCATTCCCTCTAATTTGATCCCATATTGAAGTTATCAAGTCGAGTGGCGTCTCGGAAGGTTTATTTAAGAATACCTTTTCACGAATAACATACAAAAATTATAAAAAATAAGTCCAACTAGCCCAAAATTAGATTGTAGTAGTTCTCGTTACACTTTCATAGTTTATTCAGATCATTGAAAATTTATTTTTTCGATTGAAAAAAAAACTAAAGCATGTATTTTGAAAATGAAGGGACATCTGAAAGAATGTTATACAGTACTTTTGTCTCTGGTTATGTTAGGTCAGGATTCACAATTTTCAGTTAACGAACATGCTGTACTTTGGAAAAAGTTTAAAACGCATTTTCTCTGAGGCAACAGATGCTAATTTTTAATTTCAATTTTGGAAGAAGTTATTAGTTTTCCGTGAATAACAACCCATATTTAAAATATAGATAAAATAAAAAAATCGATCGTATTTTTCGCTGCAAGCAAATTTAAATGTTTCGTTATTTTGCATGTATAAAAATTGTTGAACCGCCTTCAACTAACTTATGCCTCAATATGCATAGTATGGCGATAACTGTGCAGTAACGAAAATCAAAATAAACTTTCATTGTCACCTGGCAAAAACACTGAGCAAATGTACAGTTAGTTTCCTGTATTGTATTCGAGCTTGTTGGTAATTCACTGAATTGACCAAAGCTCGTTCCCAATAGCGTAACACCGATGATTTCTTTTGAACATTGAACATATTATCCGACGGAAATTTCGTTGTTTTATCAATTAATATGCTTTCCGAAAAAATATACTTTCTAAAGTACTGTTGCAAACACCTTCAAAACTATTTTCTACTACGGAATGAAACCAATACACATTGCATGCAGTTATCTTGCACTAAGAGGTAAATACGACGTATTTACGCGTCAGCTTCCTTTTGACAAAACGAACGCGATACGCTACTGGATATCCGAATACCTATACCTCTTTTATGCTTTTTCTTTTTTCAGTCAGACATTTTATTGTAATGGCAGTTGGGTGTACCGCACATACTTCGATCAAATCGAATTAATGCACGAATTTTTGTTATTTTAAACGGCATTTTTACGGATAGACGGATATATGGCAGGATTTAGATCCTACTGTATATCGACGACGTTGATGGCGACTTCGTGGCCCTAATTTACTAATAACGTAAGGTCACCGAAGCATTTAACGGAGAATAGCTGTGAGAAAAAAAGAGATTTTATCCTCGCAAATATTGAATATTAATTACGATATATATGAATATTAAAAAGCATTATAAGAAGCGTGGAAAACCCCAATTGCACACAGGAAAGTTTTAAAGAAACGTGAATTATTTCTGACAAAATATAAAAAGTTGGCTTTTCTAATTTTGTTTGTAAAGTCCAAAAAACGCTGGACATGGCCTTAGAATTGAAATATGAAGGATATAAAGGAAACAGATTTGTGTCATTCTTTTCATGAAAATGCATTTAAATGATGTTTTCATCATTATTCTTAGAGTCAGAAAGACATTCGGAAAACTTTGACAGTGCATTGATGGCATTGATTTATTTCTTTATTTAAAATTGAAAAGTCAACAACGTACAAAATTTCAAATAAAATTTATTGTTACAGTTAAGAGTACATTATTTTCAATTTCCTCATTGCATGGTTTATTTCTTCTAGTAACTGGTTTTTGAAATGAGCCATACTCCAATAAATTTGAACCCAGCCTTCCAAAGATCTTATTTTGATGTAATATTTCAGGGTAGGTACATAATTAAATGTATCCGCTTCTAGAGTATTAGAACGATACAAAATGTAACATTTTACTTCTCAAAAGAAAAATTTCTTTCCGTTTTTAAATAATGGTCAAGTACCCAATTAACTGAAGTTAAACTAGCAATAAAGGCATTGGTCAATGATATATGTTTATAGAAATATTTGGGCTGTCAAAACTTTTTATTCAATTGGACTGTCAAAACTTTTGTTTTTCCCAATGTCGAGAAAGATCATGGCCTACTACAAAATAAATCAAATTTTGCTTTCAGACTCTGAGAATAAATGCTTCAGATGATACATGATGTAATAGTATATTATGCAACAAGTGCGGTAAACGGCATTTGACTCGCGAGCGGAGCCAGTGTTTAATATACGAGTGACTTAAAAAGTTTACCGAATGTGTTGCATACTATACTTTTTCAACGACCGTTAGTTTTTGGGTACATTTTTGCAAAATACGAATATTTCACTGACATGACTGTCATAATTGACAAACGTCAAAATTCAAAGCGTGGGAAATATCTTCGAAAACATCCGATTGCTCCCAAACCCGTGCGGTAAAATCCCGAAGTGGCTCGGATTCGTGGGAAACGAAACTGATGTGGTAAAGCGACGCTTCCCGCACGCTAGATCGGTGCGTAATTAGGTATTTTACATACGGGAGTAAAAAAAAGCATTTTTTATGGTCTATTTAAGAAGAACAAATATAATTCTATGAAAAAGTGCTGTTCCCTTTGTTCATTTTCTCATAAAATTCATTAAAACTGTCATAATTAAATCAACCCTGCAGCCGATATCCCTATGTCATCCCATCCTTATTTCCAATCGAAAGCTTAAACGTTTAAAACTAAACAAACTCCAAAATAATGTTTAGATAAAGAATTAATTATTGACAAATACTTTCATGTAAACGATAATTTTTTAAAGGTTTTTTTTTCTTTGGCAGCGATCCCAGGTGAAAAAGCATGATTTCGTTTGCAAAAGTTAAATATTTGGCAGCAATTAATAGCGAATGTATTTTTAGAAGTGCAAAAAAAAACAATTAATTTAGAACAATATTTGTCCTTGCATCATTTCACGACTCCCAGGCGTACTTATATATTTTAAAAAGTGTACAGGGAGGTAACAAATATGATCTTACGCAAAACTAAGGGTCTGCAATTAATTTATAAATAAAAAATTATTCTTTCGGAGGAAGCTAGACGCCTATTAATCAAATATTTATTGTAGTCGAAAATTTTTTGCAATAAATAATAGCGTAAACATAAATATATTTGTTTTTATTCGATAATAGTTTTTAAATAGATCTCGTTCATATGAAAATTGCGAGTTCCTCTAAGGAATACTTCACACACAATTCGAAAGCAATTTTTATATTAGCAAAATGTTGACTGGACGGCGTTGGTGTGGGAAATATCTTGGCTAGACGATTACATCGTTTTGGCACAGGAAGATCCGGTTTCGAAAATCACCTCGAAACGGTATGCAACGTTTGCATTTCCAAACTATGTAATATCGATTTATTTTTAAGTGGCCGACCAAAAAAAAACTTTCTCTTATGCACACTTTTACTGCAATAGACTTTGGATTGCTTAATATTTCGTCACTTAACTCTGGTTAATATTATATAATTTCTTGCGAAGTAATTTTTGGCCATGTGCTAACATTCTCAACAAGAGATTCGCTGTGTTTGAATTGTTACTTGTTCTTAGTGGTAACAGCGCATTTTTATCAATTAGATCTGGGTGAATATCCACGTAAATATTGTTTAATAGTATTCAGAATTTTATACAAGCATTATACGTATAAATTATTACTATTCAACTTATATACTCCGCTTAATATAAAATGAGTCAAGCTGTCAAGTAGTTAGTCATAATTGTTCAATGCCATCTTTAATATCACTAAAAAAGTATAAACACAAAAGTTTTGGTTAGCGTTGGTTAGTTAAAATTTTCAGGTTTAAAAGAAGAACCCTATATTTGTTATTTTGAATTCTTATACACTCTTTTTCCCAACTTCAAATAATTGTTTAAATATAATCTACCAATTGGCAACGAAACTACTGTCCACTGTTGAAATAAAAATATGCAATTTGGTAAGTTGATAAGGCTGAATATTGTGAACATTTGTAGCATAAAAACAATTCTAAAGAAGTTTTGTCGAACATACTCCTTGTCTACAATCAATAGCTTTTCAAATTGAAATGGAAAATTTACCATAATATTAAGATGTTTTCAAAAATATAAAAATTAAAAAGTTGCCGCGCTGTTTATAAAACTTATATGTGAAGATATTAGTAATACGGTTTTAAAACTATTACCCGCTATTACTTGTAAATGGACGTTAATTTAATTGAATTCACTAATCTATAGCAAATAACAAAAAGCTTTTTCTTAATTGTAACAGCTTTTGAAATAACTAAAAGAAGAAACAAGGAGTCTTAGTCATAATTCAAGTCTTCAAAATGACCTCCCCGTTGTTGGATACATCTTTAATATCTTTCCACAATTTTTCTGGCAAGAAAGAAGAAATTCTTCGATACAAGTCTAATAAACTGCAGTTAATATGAACCCGATAAAAAAAACCCAAAAGAGTATGATCCTAACGTGTCTTGTCAGTCGTAATCAATTTAATTCCAAAAGTCGTATTTAAATGATCTTTGCATACTACTCTCTGGTATACTCTATTGAAAACTGCCAGGGGTAGATATTCCACGAGATTATCAACAACATTAGCCAAGATATTTAGACAAACAACAAACCCTCCTTCATTTTAATTTTCAGGGAGATTTTTAAAATACTAAACTAACTACGGAAAGTAAGACGAACTGGGTGGAATTCTATCAGGATACCGCTGATCAAAGACTGTTTTAGCTTGCCTTTTATTGAAAAGATATTCACATTGTTTGTTGATAACTATAAAAATGCTATTATAAATTAAGAATAATGATTAAGATGAGAAAATATTTTACTGTATACTAAGTGATGATTATCAAATAGTATTTATCTAAAACTAAAGGACTAATGGTATAAAGAGAGCAAGTTTATCATTAGTAGTCGAGACAACAAATTATATGGCACAAAAAATTTTGGTACTAATTTGGTGCAGTTATTATTTTAAATTTATTTAAATACAAAAAAACGGCTAATTTAAATGCAATCCTTGGAACTCTTAAACCTTCATAACGATATTTCTCAAAATTTTAAATTTTTGCAGACTGTTATTCGGAAAGCCTGAAAATCTGCTGTTCTGGCGCACTCGCCTTATTGTCGAAAGGGGATTAAAATGTCACTTTATAGTAATGCTATAACAACAACAAAAAAATATTTGAAGAAAGCATTGATTAATCAGAATATGCGTTTTTGCTTTGCTAATACAGACGTGCAAGTTATGGAAAATCATTTAAGTTGACGCCAACATTCGATAGAATTCGCGGGAAGCCTTGAGATTTACTTTGGCATTTAAATGTTTGCAAAACTCATATCCCAATTGGAATCGGTCTGGTTGCTAAACCATACCACAAACAATGAAAATTACGATGAGTCACGAGTCACTTGACCTCCGACTAAGAAAAACCAGACGTCACAGAAATCCCTCGCACAAAAATATGTCGCCGCTATGTGGACAAAAACGAAACCAATAGGGCGTAATTAAAAGTTATTTACTCAAATGATTCGGGACGACATCTAATGAACAATGGTGAAACCATTATCTTCGCTCTCGACGGTAGGTACCCTGGTACTCCGTCTCGTATAATTTAAACTATAGTGGGGAAATCATTTACCTGAACAGGTAGTTATAACGTTAAGCTGACGAAGTGTACGTGTTTCCGTGGATTTTCAGTTGTTGGTGTTTCTAGTGGCTTTCAAAGGGACAAAAAACTATTTAGTAAGTACCGTACCCCCTTAAATTTTAGTTATTACACGCCTATATTGCTATACCGTGCGATTAATAATCAATAATTCCTGTTAAAACGAAGGTACGCAACAAATAAACTCAAGGATGGAAGTTTGCTGCAACCTTTACGTACGTTTAGTATTTGCGCTGATATTACCGATCTGCAGACTTTATTTTAACTCTACGGTATACGAATATTCTGTTTGAAGTGTTAGATTTCCACCTACTGATAATATCTTATCTAGTTTCAATGGAACTACTCACGGCCTGGCAATGTAAAATAAATGTTTAATTAAAAATATAGTCACGAGAACCATAATGCGATATATGTGTTTTCCAGGCAAGTTCTTCCTTTTGCAGCGTATATTAAACTGTAATAAGTTGACGACACAAAGGAGTTTCCAGTGACTGAATTTAATGTGACTACGCTTTATTTGCAACATGGTTTATAATATCTTTTCGCGGATTAGGCACAATTTTGTTTATTTCTCTAAAACTGTGTTGTATGAGAACGTCTGCTATTGGGCATTAGAATATATTGAACGTATTATTGTAAGTTTAGTGGATGGTTAGCGCACAGGATATTTCTACAGTAAGTCTTTAAAATGCAATTTTCATAGTGCTATTTTATTAACTATTGAAGAAAAATTAGAAAAAATCCTCTGCAGAGACCTCAAAATATGTTTTAATTCCAATACCTAGTTTTGGTTCGTTCATTGTATTTTTTTTTGGATTGTATTTTCATAAAATTATAGACAAAAAGTTCAACAGTAAAATAGTACACTATAGTACCTCCCACTCTATATTGTTGATAATAAACTGCTCATTTTCCGATTTGAATTAAAAGAAACATCCCGAAATACCGACTTACAGGACGAAGAACAATGTAAGTGTCAATAAAAAAATATCACAATTGTCTTATAATTCTAGATATTTTATGAAAGTTTATATATACATTTTAATCATTAAGGAGAATTTTTGACGTAAAAAATTTTTGAACATTTTCCCAGAGACGTCGGTATGTATACTAAATATTTGTGAACAAAAAAAAATAGTACGCCACTGCGTTTTCTAAAAATTAAAATTATTTTCGAAATCCTCATTTTCTGAGCAACCAAAACTAACAAAGAAAGTTTGTTGAGACTTGCCTTAAGTGTCGGCGGCACTCAATTAATAAACACCATGTATTTCTAAATCGATATTACAAATTTTTTTATATTTTGTTCGGTTTTTAATGAGTTGTTCCGTTCAAAACAAAAAAAACACATTATGTGTACTGTATATGAAAGTTTTTCTCTACCGCGATCGTCTAGAAAGGAATTGATTTCGTCGTAGAAATCGCTTCAAAAGAAATACTGCTTTTATCATCTGATTAAATACATATTAACTCAAATGCGATTGACACTTGGTGCGCAGTAGAACAAACAACGTCAAGAATTTTAGTACCACGTAAACTTTGGTACCACTTGCCATATATATATTGTTGTTTTTTATTGACCAGCTTCTTTAACTTGACCTAAGTCCCATACCAGCGTATTTTTAATATTTTCTATATCGTTCCTCGAAATTGCTTAGGTGCTCTGTAAACAACCATAATTCTAAATTATCAGAAACAAATATATTCAAAAAAGTACATATTATATTTTTTTAAGCAAATTTTGAAGAAATGGTTAAAACATTATTTAATTTTATTAAATCTAAATTTTAATGCGGATTTCAAAAGAATTCTGGGACATCTGTTGTCCTTATGAATGTGACTGACGACATTTTGTATGCTTTTGATAAGAAGATGAACACTCAAAATAAATAAGAACTAAAAATTCAGATTTTCACGAAATTATATATTTTTACATGACAATTGTTTCGACAACACCGTGCCTTTATCAAATGTAATATTTATAAACTACCTGCTACTATATATACCGAAAAAGGATAAAACGAAATGTCGAAAATCTCAAAAATCAGGTGTCTACAGGAGATTTTGTTTTATTGTTTTTGGGTATATATAGGACACGATGTTGTCGAAACAATTATTATGTAAAAATATATAAATTCGTGAAAATCTGAACTTTTAGTTCTTATTTATTTTAATATATAGAAGTTCGTATTACTTAAAAGAACGCAATACTTTGAATTTGTTTTGTATAAAATTATGCAGATGTAGATAGCGCAATTTTCCATTTATTTTATTATTTACACTACATTATATTTGCATATCTCCAATTGCTCTTGTCGAAACAATTGTCATGTCATAATATATAATTTCGTGAAATTCTGAACTTTTGGCTCTTATTTATTTTGATAAATGAATCTTCATCAAGTAAAAGCCACCTCAGTTCAAGATGAACACTATCCTTATTCTGTTAGATTATTCAAAGGCACTTGTTACGATCAATCATTCACTTCCGGTATCAAAATTAAAATACTATGGTGTTGATAAGACAGTTTCCCTTCTTATAGGTTCCCATGTAGACTATAGGTTTCAGTCTATACACTGTAATAATATGTTATCTGATCAGGTAAATATTAAATTTGGGATTGCACAAGTATGATCGTTGACTTGTAATGGCTTAGCAACGTGGATACCATATTTGCATCACAAGACTCCGCCGATTCATTCAAAGAAAGATTGGTATTTCATAATATTCATAATGTTCGAATGAGGTATAGGAATAAATTTTCTATTCCACCCATTTCGCGTTCGTTTTATTATAATTCAAGTTTTTGTTATAACACTTTGCCAGATCTGTTGTATATGTGTTGAAAATTTAAAATCTAAATTTAAAAAATATTTACTTTATATACAACGAACTGACCAGCACTTTTCTTGATAAGTAAATAATTGTATGTAATTTAAATTTTATGAGTTAGCTTATTAGTGCAAGTTAGTTATTGTTTAACAGGATTATTCTTTACTAAAGTGATATTTTAACAGTATATGCATATGCATTGTTTAAAATTTACTACCTAATCTGCAAGTCCAAGATAGACTGCGCCAGCAGAGAACACAATTTTTTTTAAAATTATATATTTTTTTACTTTTGATTAATAAATTAAATTAAAAATTTTAATTATTTATTTCGAGATAACGAGACATAAGCTTTAAATGTCGAAATTTATATTCAAAAACTTAGAAACTTAATATAGTACAGAATGTTGTTATTTATTTATTAGATAAATTATTATAAAATTCAAATCTGATTATTTCGCAATTAAGTGATATAGGTAAAAGTTAACCATAAGACATTGCATTAATATTTTCTGCCTGTACCTAATAAGATAAGGCGGTTGTGACACCCGGTATCTACAAGGTGTTTAAAAAATGCTTCGTATAAACGTAGATCCGGAAACGTTTAGTTTCCACGATAAATATTTCTATACGTTATTGTCTAAGACCTGTACGCCACTGAATTTTTTGCAATTTTTGTTATTTACTTTAAATAAGCCACTAAAATTACAACTTTTTGACAACAACAACAAGTTGACAAAACGAGGTATTATAAACATTTATTACAATAAATAGAGATAAGTAGAAATTTCATTCATTTTTCTCCTATGACCTAATAACCAACGTCAGCTTAAATGCAGGCCTATGATGAAAGAATTTTAGCACAAGCCGTTTTAAATTAAATACCCCGTATTTCTTGAACGTTTTTTTCTTTTTTAATGACTGATTTGCACTCGAGAAGATGATTTTCGAAACACCCTGTATATAAATTTATAAATACTGAAAAGCATACGTAAAACTGTTTGAAAAAAAAACTGCGTCTAACATCCGATTAAATACATATTAATTCGAATTGGATTGACACTTGCGATAGGAGAATCTATGTTAAGAATGTTAATAACACGAATACTAATTCATCGATATTTATTTGCAGATAAATGCCGAATTGGTTAGTGCTTCTAACGTTGGTGGCAGCGTCCTCGGCCCTGCCACAAATCAAACCTTTGAATTGCGTACAAAACTGCACCTGCAAGGAGATTTTGCCGAATATCTTGGATGTCGTGGGCTGTGACAAACCATTAACGATCAATTCGACACTGTTCGAACATTTGGACAAAAAAATCATAACCGTCATCAGTTTTTCGAACGTTATTATCAATCAGATTAAAGAGGATGCTTTTAAGCACTTCGCCATCTTGGAAGATGTGATAATTGAGAAAGCTCAGATTGGCTCGATCGACTCAAAAGCTTTTGATAACATTCGCAAAGTGAAGTTTGCCAATTGTGGATTTGAGGACGAACCAACTTTATATTCCCAACAATTGGAGGAATTGCATTTTGGCAATTGCAAGTTGGACTCCATACCGCCGTTAGATGAACTCTTCTCCCTAATGTTCCTGAACCTCTCCGGAAACTACATCAGAGATATAGATATCATGAGTTTTGCCGAACTGTTCGACCTCGAAGTTCTGATCCTCTCCAACAACGAATTGAGTAGAATTCCGGCTAATCTTTTCGTGAACAACCAAGAACTGAATAGCTTATATCTCGATAACAATCCGCTGAAGTTCTTCCATATGAACACGTCTAACAAATTGGAAACGTTGTCCTTGAAAAACTGCCATCTCACTTCGTTCGATCAAACATCTACGTATCGCTTGAAATCATTAAGCGAATTAAATCTAAGCAACAATAATCTTAAATCCGTATCTGGGAAAGATTTCGCTTACATGATTCAACTATCCGTCCTCGATTTGTCGAACAATAATCTATCGAAATTGGACAACGACGTTTTCAAGAAAAATGCTAAACTTCAAAAACTAACCCTGGATAACAACAACTTCAAGACCTTGCCCAACTTTACTCTGCCAGATGGAGATATTTTCCAGATCTACACGTTCTCTTGCAGGAATTGCGGCCTGACGAATGTCGGTCAAAACACTTTCAAAAATATGCCGGCCATCATCAGTTTGCAGTTGTCCCACAACAACCTAACTAACGTCGAAAATACCTTCGGCGATATTAAGAGCTTGAAAATATTGGACATCTCCTATAACCAAATCCAAGTATTGTCGACCAAAGCATTCCAACACAATAGAAATTTGGAGAATCTGAACGTCGCGGGTAATCCTTTAATGGCGCTCAATCCTGAAGTGTTCGCGGCTACCAAAGCCATCAGAAAAATTGACGCCAGCAACACCAAGCTCTACAAGCTGTGGAGCAATAAAAATGTCATTTTGGAGTCCGTTAAGAAACTTATCGTTTCCAGTAATCAATTGACGACTTTATCGGTCGAAGACTTTAAGATCGTCCCTAATCTCCAGGCTATTGATTTGCACAACAATCCTCTACAGTATGACGAACAACTATGTAACGTTATCAACTGGTTAGAAAAACTATCTGTATATCCTATCGAGTATTTTGACGGCGTGGAAAGTCTCGACCAAACTTTAGGCAACGATATCGACAATTTCACTACGAATCAATGGTCGGAGTTCCGTAAGAAGAAATGCCCTGAACCACAAATTGAAGACGATGAAGAAGATTATAAAGATAACGAAGAGGCAGATAACAACGTTAATTACAAAGTGATGAATCCAGCGGACGATAACGAAGAAGACGACGATTACGATTATGACGAAAACTACGATGAAGACGAAGAAGAAGATGGCGACAACGATAGAATCACCGCCGAAATAATCGAAGATAACAACATTAATTTGGCTCGGGCCTCTTCTATATTGTATATCATTTCCGTGTTTGTTCTCACAGCGTTAGCGGTGTTGATCACAGCCGTCACTTTCACGTTGGTGATTTTGAAACGTAACTCTAAATTCCCCATGCACAAAGCCAATCTTCCTCGTTTGAAAATACCATTGTGGGACGCACAACCCGGCCAGAAAAAGCACAGCGGTTCAGTCTATAGGCCTCTATCGGAGGATTTGTCCGGACCGAAAACCCCTAAATGCAGTCGTTACGAATTCAGCGCGACACCAACAGTCCACACCACCAAACCTTAAAAACTTTGTAAGTATCTAATTTTATATATTCAAGGCGTGTCACCGATTCGAGTGTAATATCAAAAACTATCCAATTTATTATTAGTCAAAGTTTGGACGAGCTTTCTTCGAGATATTTTTATTAATTTAATTGTATTTGTTAAGTCTAACTGTGTTACAAATCTAGATTTAGTTTATAGGGCTTGTTTCAGTATTTTCGACGACATACACTCATCATTAAATTTTCTCATATGAGAAAGTGTCAATCTTGAACCGTTTGCTTGCGTATTCAGAGAATAAATCCCATCAATTTTTGTATTTTCCAGGTAGGAACAGTTCTTTTTTAGCATTTGTCCGTTTCCGCTTTGCATCTTCTATTTGGCGATAAATTTGTTTAATGTTGTTTCGTTTTTAGTTATTGACAAAATAGGACGAGCCATCGGTAATTTTATGCCATATAGTAAATATGAACTGATAACTTATAAAACCACGCCTATATCGTCAAATATCGATAGTCTAATTCTTTATTTACATCAATAAATATTAATAAGTAATGATGTGCCTTTTATTCCAATTAAATACGGTTCAGCAGATCTTCTATGCAAATATGCGACTTTATAATGCCGATAAAACCGCGCTGACGTACTTCGTTGGCGTCCTATCCAAATACGTATTTGGTTCGTTCTATAGAGACGGTTTTGTAATGATATGCTAATATGTGACGGCGCTATTCATCATCTAAAATTAATCGTAGGTACTTGCTTCATAAACTATTAACTAAAAATATTTGGTTAGCAAAATCCAGGGTTATAATGCTCTAATTAAAAAAATGTATGCCAGTGTTTTCTTCGAAAATAAAATTAAGTTTTATTTTATAACACATAATTTTCATTAATTCATTCAAGAATGGCAATGACTTTTTACGCGTGTTTTGAATTTCTCCAAAGGGTCAAATAATAATTAAGGACGAATGTAATTTTCTAATCCCAGCCTTGATTTGGAAGACTTTCGAACTTGCATTGGACTCACCTTTACTAACCACTAAGTACCAACAATTAATGTTTTTTTTTGGGAATCCCCTATTTAAATTATAGGTAATTATTGCTTGCTATATTAATATTAGCAAATTTCTACGCAGTTTATTTACTTTCGTCTAAAAATTGGTAAACTCTTTCGTAGCTTGATACGGGTCAAAAGGTTTTCTGTTGAAATTGCCTCCTAACGTTTTGGTTAGTTCAAGAGCATTTCCATCTCCGTTGTTGGGCGTATACTGAAGTCGACGGCCTTTAGACCAGAATCAGGACAATAGTTTACTTTGGTCTGTTCTCAATTTCATAAAAAAGCGCAAAATAATATTATCTTGAAATGGGGGAATTATTTTTATCTGTTTTTATCCCTCTGTCTCCCACGCGGATAACGTTATCAAACTTCAAAAACATTCTTGCTGATAATGATCTAAACAAACATATATCTGTACCCTTTTTTAAAATTTACTAAAAATATGGGTGGTTTAGTTAGATACACTCCTTGCGCATTTGTACTGAGCCTTGCTGATTTCTTGAGGGTCCTGTTTTAAACGCAGACTTTTAAAATCAAAATTACAGGAGAATTCCCGGAGTGTACCTAGGAGTGTAAAAATCAGGGCGAATTAAAATTTACAATTTTAAGCGCTAGCGTTTTCAAAATCCCACAAGGTTGAAGACTTAAAATTTTAGTTCGGATTCCGTTGCAAACTCGTTTAAAACATCTTAGAAATATTATCACGACCATTGAAACCTTGTCGGTATTGAAGATAAAAGAAACATTTTTCGATTTATCATTTACGTGACTAGCCCAGTGTAGTGATTATTTTATCGAAAATGAAGGATTTCTAATATGATCTGGAAAATGTTATCACTAGAGTGGCGTGTGGCAATTACGATCCACCATTATCGTTTTTCCTTAAGCGAATGCACGGCGAAAAACTATCTAGAACTTGTGTTTCATGTTCGTGGTTGTGATTTGATATCCATTTATTTTAACTCCGAGTGTTTTTGCAATTATTGGTAGCCTGGCACATCAGCGAATTCATGTGTTCAAAATTTTTCGTCAATCGGGAGTTAAAATATGGCATCGGCATATTGGAATATATAAAATTTTTATTAGATTGCATTTAAATCAAGTGACATTTAAGATTTTTCAAGTACTTTTAATTGTTTGCCACAATATTCAGCACGATTCCTTGATAACCTAATTGATGATCACTTAACGCAATTATATACCTACTTCGAATGTTATGTTATATTTTTGCGCTCTAATTAAAATCGCTTACAACAATTATATCTGACAGAAGAGTGTTTTATGCCATGTTGCCGTACGTACTAACCGAAAACATTATAATAGTATACGAGCATCAACGAACGTATTTAAAAATTAAGAAACAAATTTATGTTGACCTTTGATATAGATGACTGACTGCGCATAATAAAAATTCCATGGACCTTTGTGATAGGATTCGCTTAAATTAATAAATGGCACGGATCCAATTCAATAGGTATTTCTAAACAAGTATTTAAATAATTATGTACGGGTGAATGTATTTTTGTATTATAGTGGTATAATATCTAAGTTTTTTGTTGTTTAGAAAAATGGTTATATACTTATAGAAAACAATAACAATTAAGAAAATTTCACGTAACGACATAATAATGTACTGAACAAAATCTAATTACAATTTCAATATCTTTTACGTGACTTGGACTGGGACTGTAATACTTTACTAAATCTTTATGTACTGTGGTGTATTATAACTTGCCTGAGCATACCCACAGCTTTGTGTATACAGTCCAGGTCTTTATTGCGGGCTTTATTTAAATCTACATGAAAATATGTTTAAATATACCTAACTATATGAAGCCTATTAATGCCCTATATTGTTATTTTAATGTGGAACACCGGATTACTTTTACTGCTAGAATTTCTACAAAAAAAAAAAGATAATTGCAAGCTTTTTACTCAGCTTTTCATTAAAATTATTTTATATAGGTCGAATGAATTTTGAAACGGCTTCATTGGGTTGAGTATTGGATTTTTTTATCGAGGTCTTTCGTCAGGAAACATATTAAAACGTAAAATGTTGGAAGCAGCCAGGTGAGTATGTAGGTGTTTATTTTACTCTTCTACTGTGATTTACAGGACCGGCAAGTTATAAATGATGTGTAGTACCAGTATAGAAATGCGAAAATATAGACAATGGACAAAATATTTGTTGGCCAATCTCTCAGTGAAGAAAAGTTGATTTTTCGGAGTTTTTGGACTGGAATAAATCATTATTTTATAGTGAGATTATTGAAAAGCAGTTGTTCAAATATTATTTTCCTATTATCAAATAGCGAATAGATTTTTATGTGACGTAGCTTATTATAAATTATTTTAGATTATATATAGCAAGGTGGAAAGCTTTCAATTTTAAAGCTAGGAATTTCGGTTTACAACTGGGGACACCGTATCCCAATTAAGTCGTAGCTATTTGTTAAGTTAATAATGTTACAATTAAAAATAAATTAACCTTGCCTGACAAATGTAGGAAACAAATATTTCGAACTTACCGTCTATAAATTCGCACTAATTGGTGTGACAATTTCAGATTGGTACTGATAAATACCTCAAAATTGTGTACCAAGAAATATATTGCTTGGAATGACAGTAGATAATATGGAAAATAAAGTCCAATGAGGAAGTATTAACATGCAGGGTTTTTTCTAACATGACACTAATTCTGTTCACTTACACGAAGTGACTTTTCATTAGTAGATGTTAACAAACGGTAGTTTAAGCTAGTTCTTCTTCTTATTCTTCCAAATTTTTAATAAAATATATAGTTTTTAAACATGAATCAGGTGATTGTGACATGAATTAACAATTCGGAATTGAGAAGGAGATCAATAAAATTATGAAATCGCTTTTCTTTTGAAAAACGATCAAAATTTTATGTTGAACTGTTATATAGGTATTCCAGGAGCACCAAGAGCAGTTTTTTTTGTTTTTAATATTTAAGAACGGAAGGCATAGTGACCACGATATTAAAAAAAAACTGTTAATTGAGAAGTTAGTTGTGTTCTATACAAAGTGTGTTGAGTTCATTCCGCCTTCTGTTTCCACGACCTTTCGGTCTAATACACCCAGCGCCACCTGTCAACGGTTTTCAAAATTATAAGAAATGTGATTACAGAAACCTGTGATATGTTCATTCAAATATGAAAACCAGGAGCCTTTCATTCTTCCTAATAATCGCAAATTAACTGTCCACCCAAACACAATTTGCAATAAGCGCACCAGTGATTGTTGAGAATGGTCTTGTTATGATGCAATTGACGAAATATACATCATAAATTTAAATTGTAATTTAACAGAACGATTGCACCCGTTTAAAATTTCAAAATAATGACGCTTAATGTCAAACAATTTAATCTTTTCTACTTCCCCTCTTATAATTTAATAAATTAATAATTGTTTTCGATATAGAAAAAGGAAGTGCTTTTATTGACCAAAGCCATAGAGCTCTATCTATCTACTTTTTTGCAGTTTCTCAGTCCCTAATGAGATTACCAGGTAAATTTTAAAAAATACAAAGCTAGACTATCAAATTATACCAGGTGGACAACAAAAAAAGTGCGTTTCGAGATGGGAAAATAAACAAAAAATTGTGAAATGAATGACATTTTATTGAGTATTTCATAAACATTTTTAATTAACCAAAAATTAGTTTAGGTACACCAAAAGCCAGAACAGTTTTTCGACTGCATTTTTTTTTGCAGATCGCTTAAAGGCCAGACGAAACATGGATTTTCATACATATCAGGACTTACAAATGGTACAGTTTAATATTATACCTGTTTTTTTTTGGAAATATATTTGCGGAAATTTTTAGAAATGAAATGGACATATAAAAAATAAATTAATTCTACGTTAATAGTTTAAGATAAGTTAATTTTATCTTTTATGGATACAATGGGATGAAAATAATATCGCTTTTTCCAATATTAACGCAATGAGCCATTTCAGTCCAATGCTTCAAAAATATGCTACCATTTAAATTCATAATTACTTTTTCATAGTTTTGTTTCCAAACACTTACCTAAAAAACTTTTAACACCGGCAAATTTACCTTCTAATAGTTCATTCTAGCCTTTTTTTTTAATTTCAATGAGTTATAAGTAGATAAGTTACTATCTTTGGTTTTAAAAAATATATTACATAGTTATAAATTAAATTAAACTTTCTACAAAAATACTTATGTACACATAAATTGTTATAATTTACGGTAAATAATTTTTAGATTTTATTATTTTTAATTTAAATGGGACCGTTGCAACCAAAAATAATACGAGTTTTAATCTAGAATGCCAAATATATGCATACAAATCTTCAGCAAGCATTAAAAAGGAAACTCGGGTGTTTTGAGAGAGTAGATTGTAAAATTTGTAAAATGGTTTATAAACTTCAGTTGAAGTTCAAAATGGTAAAGGTTCTAGTTGTGGAATGAATATATGATGGAATGAAATTATTTAATATAGGTAAATATTTATTGCCATGTTAAAATAACGCCCTGTAAATTCTGATAAAACCGAAAATATTTTCTTATGTATATATTAGGCTTTTAGAGATGAATCGCAATATTTAATGGAAATGATGAATGACATCTAAGCTTTGGAGCCCACGATAGCAGAAACGATCCGACGAATTTTTTTTTTTTGGGAGCCACACTTTCGAAAATTTCTGTTCGCCGCTTATTTAAATATTTATATCAAACAATGTGCTACATTATATTTCAGTACATTTAGCCACATTAGAATTATTCTATCTCAAACTAGACTTAACAAAAACACCGGTTGTACCTACTCCGCTTCAGTCTTCTGAACAACCAATCCTTTGGCAATGCATTTGTTGAACCTAGTGCGAGAATGTACTACCACGGTCCACTTATAATTTCACATCAAAAATATACATCTAACATTTGTTTATAATACATTCAATACAAGTGCACCGATTCCGGTTCTATCTAACTAATCTGGTAACATGTGGACAAAACTTATCGGAAACATTCCAGTCCGTTCTGGCTCATTTTCGACCATACCCTCCATCCAATTATCGTCGTCGGTATGCTCGTTTATAACGATAATAATTTCGCCCTCCTGAAACGAAAGCTCGTCGTCGTTATCGGCTGCGCAATCGTACAGCGCTTTACATCTGCGCAGGTTCCCACCCCCGTTTGAAGTATACGAAAGACGCCCGGTCGGCATTGAACGAGGAGAACACAACGAACTGTTTGAAACTGGACTAGATGATATCCTTTGTGGAGGAGAATCTGAGGCCTGAAAGATTGTTTTTCTCGTTACGCCTGACGAGTATGACTAGATTACAGGAAGCAGGGTGTTTCAGGTTTGGAGGTGATGATGAGGAAACGACAAATGATGGCCGCAGGAAATGCAGGGTGGGTGATTAAAAAGAGAAGTGCAGCTAAAGCGAAAGATAATCAAATTAAAATCATTCACACTAACACCCCATGTTAGGTTCTGTTTGAAAAAGGCTCCATACCCCCCTCTTCAATGGTAATTGTATATATGTCAAGTAATTTTATTATTATTACTATTATTAAATATGCTTGGTAAGCTTTAATATTGTGAAATACCGATATGCTAAAAAACATATTTTGGGAACAAAAGAATATTATATTCCAAATAAATAGAATTTTTCGTTCCAATCGATACAATTGCTAGATGGTTTAGTAGTTGAGGCAACTTACTTGATTAAATTAAAGGTAAACCATGTATTTTTAAAACTGCAGTTAATATAAATAATTTTATTATATTTAGTCGATCTGCTTTGGAGCGACATTCATTTATTCATATTATATTATATTTATTATTTTCAAAAAACGTACACGCGCCAATAATAGGTGGTGTCATCCCAAAGGTAATATATTATATAAAATAATATGATATATAAAATAGGATGTTTTTGTGGCACGCAGTAACAAAGCAACTACTGCCAAAAACTGAAAAAACAACCAATAAAATTTGGTGTTAATATAAACAAACGAAAGTAATATAACATGTCGGCACAAATACAAAACCTAATTTTATTTGTCATTTCAAATTTTAGTCGCAATCATAAAAGAGCTACATGCGTCGCCGTATGGTAAACTTTTTATCTATTTCTTTCTTACCTGCACAAAATTAAAAAAGAAACACTAATCGTAAGAGAAACTCAATGCTCAGCTTTTATTTAGAATCAAAAATTGATCATTTAAACTGGTTGTTTTACTACCATGTGTGTTTTGGGATCCTGTGAAAATAATTTGTAAAAAGTAACCATACCTTTATCCATGGTATACATGGTTACCTTTTATTAGAACTTACCTGTCTTCTATTGAGACGATTATTTCTTTTTTCCCTACTCATTATTAGACGCTTGCGCATGTATTTAGCATGTTTTTGGGGTTGAATAACAATTAAATATGTCACAACCAAAAAAATAATTGAAAGACAAAAACCATGCGCATGCCAACAATTTATTCAAAACAAAACAACACCAGTTAAAAACCACACCGGTGGTGGGGGGCATGCAAATCATATTATAAACAGGTCAACAAAAAACGCACATTTACCAGACTAGAATCATTCTCGCCAGCATAACTATCCAAACGACATTGCCGTCTCTGCAAACCAAGTACGTTTCATAATAATTAATCCTATTTAGAAAAAGAAACGACAAGACAATAATAAAACAATAACTGGAGACTAGGAAGCATGGCAAGACAAAGAAAAGCCGGCAGTATTAGGCGAGTGCTCACCCTTCTGGGCGGAGGTATGGGGTTGTGGACACCCGGGGATATTTCAACGTCGGAGGCCATCGATGATATACTTTCGTTCGATCGTCCATTCGAAAGACGACTCAGGGCCGGATTGGGCGCCGGCGGCGGTGGATTCTGGGGCCTTCTTAACATAGCTAATTTGTCAGCATTTTTACAATCCGATATGACTAGTTTATTTCCTGCAAATGAAAATAAATAAATAATCGACTTTTTTTAAAAGATTACACAATTTTAGGCATAGATTGTAGGGTTACTTTGCATATTAATTACCTTAAGGATTACAGAAACTCTTTGCTTTCTGAAATTGGAGACATTTCAAAAACAGGTAGGTTGGTTGGTAGGTAGGTGGTGGAATATATATAATATTGAGTGTGAAAGAGCTAGTTTCCTGATTTAATTGCTTGGGGATGTTTGAAAAGTTTGTTTCTAAAATATGAACTTCTAGATTATTGCCGGCCTTTATTTTACTTTAAATTTCATAATTGTATTTCACCACATAGTTGAAATACTTATTGAGGTAAACAACATTTGAAGAAAATGTTTATCGGTTGTTTGAAGGTACTGATCAGTTTGCTGCTGCTTATGACGCTGACCGTTTAACGATAACAGCGTAAAATATTTGATTTGATTGAACTATGCCTTTATTTTCATGATAGGTAGATATTAACGATTATGAAATTCTTTTGGATAGTAAAATTAAGGAAAAATGTAAACAAATACAGTAATTTAAACATTGTAATTATCACAATCTTCATATTTCTATAGTAGATACACGTATGACGCATCTTACTTTCAAATTTGTTAAAGGCAGAAGAAAAGCACAACAAATCAGCTTTGTATATCATAAGAACTTTTTTTTTGCATATGTATAGAATGAATATTTATCTGATTTAATTCACTGTACCTAAAATTTTTTAAAAACTTTAGAAAATATTTGGTTCACCTTTCAGTTGTATTTTTTTGCATATTGGGTTTGCATAAAATTAATATTTCCCTTTCTTAGCCTTTACTTAGTTTTTGTTGCTATCACCAATGAAGCTTATATTTCTGATAGTTACTTTTGCATTTTAAATACATTATTATGCCTTATTAATTTTGCATCTTGCCATTTGTATTCCTTGTAATAAATTTATTGGCTATGATATTCTAAAGTCTATTATTATTTGACGTGGATCATTCTTGTTTTGTTATTCGATAATAAAAGCATTTAAAAATGTATGTTTCTATATTGATTTACCTTTTTTACCAATGTGTAATAAAACATAATTATGTAATCTGAACACTTCCAAATAGAAATTATGTTTAATTCGAATTAAAAATAAAATTTAAAGTATAATATATAGATTAACTTACAATTCAATATAAAGATTATTTTTAATAATAACAAGTATAATATATGCAGATTAAGTATTTAAATGGAGCCGCTATGGTTGCGATGTTTTAGATTTTCCACGTTTTTATACGAAATTTGCACTTCTTAACCCTAGTATTCTGTGATTAAATAGGACACTCGGCCATACCTAGAAAAGGAATTGTTCAAGTGTCTAGAATTGCCGCCAGGGGGCGCAATCTGATTCTTGAATTTTAAACCTCGTTTTTTGAGAAAAAATCTCATATTACACACATATCTAGTATGGTCACTGTTGTGAAGCTGGGACAAATTCGATTCTTTTTCGTTAAATGGGTTTTGGCGGAAAATGATAAGGAGTGTTCAAACATTTTCAATGACACTGTCGATGCCAAACTTGGACTTGTTAAAAAGAGCTCTTTTCAGGCTCTCATCGTGAGCAGATTGCCGATTGATTTAGACTACTAGTATGGCCGCCGGAGGGCGTTTTGTGACACCACTGTAAACGGTATCACTTTTATTGCAAGAAAACCTAACACGCTAATGAAAACCGCATTTTAATATCTTTTTCCGAACCTATAATATCAGTAAAAAAAATAAAAACTCGAAATAATGTAGGTGGACCATACAAACAAAAAAAACCTTCGGGAATGTTTTCAGTAAACCTAAACGTTATATTTAAAATATAAATACAATTAATAATCATTCAATATGATTAAATGTTGCCATAGAGTGATTTGGAAAGTTATTAATTATGATTGACATTTTAAATGTGATGTTGGTGTTCTAACAGTAAATTTATATACATTTCACCCCAAGTCTTTACGACAATTAGTTTACGAGATTGACAAAACACAAAAAAAGTTTCTAAAATTTTTAATGTAAATGGTTTCTATCCAGCAATGTGATCTACTTTCTATTTCAGTGTTTACATAAACTATGCGCCTCATTATTGAAATACCCTGCGTTGCCAAGTCCTACTGCATTTCGCCTAGTAACCCCAACAACAACAATCAGTGCCTTAGTTGCTTACAGTTTACCACATTAATTAAATATAAAGTTTTGTCACAGTTGAACAGTTATAGTTTGTATTTGTTAGTATGAAATTGTCTCCTACAAGGATGTTAATACATTATATATATATATATATACATATACATATATATATATATATATATATATATATATATATATATATATATATATATATATATATATATATATATATATATATATATATATATATATATATATATATATTACTATATTCAGGTAATAATAATAATATTAATAATAAATTGTTTATTGTCCTTAAGATAACAGCTTTTACCTCAACATAACGATAGATTCCACTGAGCACAGGACGCTCTAGTTTAATAGCATATTAAATTTAAATTTGAATTTGGGATAAACAAGAAAATAAAGACATCATAGTGATAGAATTCATTAACACTTAATTAATCTTGAGTTACGGAACTCGTCTGCTACCTTAAGTGTTATTTATTTTACAAATAACCTAAACAAAGTAAAATATATAAGCCTAGCCTACCAAAAGAAGGAACCAAAATAATGGATTGCATTAATTGAAGTTGCTTTCAGCCATAGCTTTAAACTTAGTTAATGACTGTGGGGCAATTTTCCACTAAACAATTAGACAATTTATAGCCCTATCCTTTACATGTTATAATATTTTTTCATTCCAGCAGGAATTATGTTATATAATTTATTTCCAACATACAGAAATGATAGCTGTTTTCTTTATAAATGGTTCTGTTAAGTTTTCTTACGTTTTGTCTCTAGTGAAGTGATCATAAGATATGTGGTTGTTGAATAATGAGTTTTTCCGCATATGAATCGTAGTTAATTAATAATATAGTTGCCGAATATTTAATACCATGCAATACTTAAATCTCTGATCTGAGGGATACTGTCGGTCAATTTGAAATATAACTTTCAGGACTCTTTTCTGAACGGTTCTTTTCTGAATGGTTAGTGTTGAACCATTTCAGATGGCTGTCCAATAGTATGGCAAGATATCTGACACTGTTATTTATTTCTATTTGCCACAATTCAGATCTCTGTGTCGGGTAAACCTCAATATTGTTACTTGGTAATGTTAAGGGTACATACAAAGTTTTTTGTGTTCGTGTTCGTCAAACCAAATGACATGTGCGCCAGTAGTAATCATTGTAAGTAAATCATTTAGGTAGATTTTGAACATACTGGGACCTAAGACTATTCCCTGAGGTATTGTAACTGATTGTTTTCTGTTATGGAAGCAGCTCTTTCATAGATCTGACACCAATCGATTCTACTTTGTTTAATAATAACTTATATGACTTCCTGTATCGAAGGCCTATAAAAATTGCAGCACAAAGGCGTCCTCTACCCAGGCAGCCATATATGCTTCCAGATCCCTCTTAAAGGTTCTCGGCAATTTAGAAAAATCGAATTCATTGACTTCCCCATGTTTTGCGTAGCAGGTAACATTTTCCATAGAAAAGAAATATAGAAAGCCAAAACAAAATAATTGAAAACTCACCAATGGGTATCACAGATCGACCCGAGCTAGAATCGCTACTCGGTGAGCGTTTATGTGTATGACTTAAGGTATGATATCCTGCAGCGATAGGATCAGAAGGAGTCCTGCTATGGCTGCTCGGAAGAGTACCATATTGGTACTGACCCGAGCTAGACGGTGGCGGTAAAGGGGCTGCCCTTTTCTTTAAACTTCCGTGAACGTTAGGCGCTGTATATATATCATAAGATAAAATAAAATATATTTGGCGTTGATAATAACTTACCGGAGTAACTCGGAGGCCGGGATCGATTTTTCTTCTCGGGTGTCAAAGATCCGTTCTTGAAAAAACACAAGTCATTAGTTAGAATATACCAAAGGTTACACTGTCAAATGTTACCCTATCGTCGATAATTGTTTCGTCATCGGAGAAATCGGTGGAACCGTCATCGTGAGATAAATTCCAATCGATGTTGATGTTATCGAAGAAACTTTTGAGTCTATTGGCCGCATTTTGTAACTGCAACGTTTATCGACGTACCAATTAGTAACTTATAGCCAATTAATAAAATTGAAAAACATTTTTTTTACTACAAGTTAATGCCACGATCAGTTTCCGCAGCGAAAAGCCAACGGTTTATTAAAATCAATTTGCCACGACATAAAAAGTGGCACGCAACATTTTAACGAATCAAAATTATGGTACGCGATAATAATGTTGCATGAATTTAGTATTTTATGGTTCACAATTATAGCATACCGTATGCTATGGACCAAAATTATGTTGTTATAGTTTTATATTATACAGGGTGTTTCATAATTTTAAGAAAAAAGTTTATATGAAAAACGGGTTTTCCTCATTTTCATGTAAACTGATTTAGACATTTTGTTGAAATTTACCACGTTAGCAAAATCACCCCGAATCCAGCGAAAAAGTTAAAAAGCAATAAAAATCTTATTTAATCATTACAATTAAATCAAAAGTTAAATAATCATTATTTGCTATTGAATATGAAAAACTAGCATTAAAAAACCAAATATCTAAATCAGATTCAATGAAAATGAGGACAAACCAAGCAAAGCAAACGATATCAACCACTTATTTATTAATGATTTATTTTTTTTAAATAATTGTCTAACAATCTGTTTAATTTATTTTAAATCATCAACTTCTTTTTCCATCGACTTTTACATAATGCAGTTATTAGCAGAAAACATTCGTCCAAAAGTAAAAGTTTATATAGTATAATGAGTGGCGACTCACTTTTTCAATGTTATTATATAACTTTTAAAGCATTAAAGATACAGAAAGGGGCAAATGAGGTAAGAGATGTGTAACTTATGTGTAATACCATGAATGACCAAAAGAAATAATATGTAATAAAAACACACGCACAAAATGAAAGAAAATTTTCAAAAAAGAAATATGCTTCTTATGCATTTTATAAGTCCATAAAAAGCTGAAATTACATCTTACGAAAAAGGAAATCTTTTTACTTACATTTTTAATACAAAATAATTTTTGCGACATTTCATTTTATTTATTTTTTTTAAATATAATTAAATATAAATTAATAATATATAAAAATAATAAACTCAAAAATATGTATTTAAAACTTCATTAGTACAAAAAAATTTTTATTTCAATTTTAATTTTCTTTTACCAAAACAAATTAATTATATATAAAAACATTATATTCAACAGTTTAGTCACGAGCGGAGCGCAGCGGAGCGAGTGTCTAAAAAAACATACCAAAAATCTTACGAATAAGGAAATCTTTTTACTTACATTTTTAATACAAACTAATTTTTGCCACATTTCATTTTATTTTATTTTTTTAAATATAATTAAATATAAATTAATAATATATAATAATAATAAACTCAAAAATATGTATTTATAGTATAATTATTATTATCATTATAATTATTATATATTATTATATTAATTAATTTATATTATTATTATTATAATTTAAATACGGAAAAATGCAGAGGGTTATATTAAAATTTTTAAAGTTGCAATTTTCAAAACTCCAGGTAAAACAACTGAATTATTATGAATTAGAAAGAAAATATGATGCGAAAATACAGTGTTTGTAAAATATTTCTTAATTCACCTACTACGATTTAATAACCGACACTCTATCACATGCACACATACAGACCCCCCTGTAAAACAGAGCAGCAAAAATTCTTAGTTTAATTTTCTAAATTTTTTAGTTGGGATTTTTGGTAACTTTATCAAATAACATTTTTGTTTCCGGTTTCTTTACTTACCAATTCCTGACAGCTGTGGTTGCCCAACTCCTGCGCGATATCCATCGGGGTCTTGTTTTGGGAGTTGCGAATGTTCGCGTCCGCTCCGCTTCGCAATAACAGTTTCATGCACTCGACTTTGTCGTAGAGGGCGCACAAGTGCAAAGCGGTATTGCAGCCGCTCATTTCCGGTATCGACGGCTGATTGGTCACTTTGTCTAATGCGGAATTCGACATGTTCTGAATTAAAAAATCGACGACGTGAAGCGTGCGACCGGATTCATTGATTATCGCTCTGTGTAGAGCCGTTTCGCCGATTTTCTACAACAAAACCCGAAAAATTCGATTTATCGTCCCGATGGCTTGTCGGTTGGCCGATACCTTGGAAACCGTTAGCAATATTAGCCATAAATGACGTTAATTCAATACATATTTTGTATGACGCACGGCTATGGTTACACCTAATAATATTCTACTAATTTACATTGAATGGAAGTATTTGATGTTAGGAATAACATATATATAACCTTTTGAAATTTCTTCGCTCTTAAACATTAAGTCTCGGCGACATATCTGTCAAAAAAATCAAAACCCGTACATTTTCAAAAGACTCCTTTAGAAAATGGCAGATATTGAAAAATACTATTAGGTTTAGTCCAGGCATGTCTGACTCAAAATATGTTTAGAATCAACAGAGAGATCCAAATATAAAGAAATATAAGGGGAGGTTCCATAAGAAAAAAAAACTTTTTTAGGTTACGGGACACCCGTTGTTGGGACACCCTGTATAATAGAATAATAGAAATGTACTCTAAAAAAGGAAAAAAATCAAATCACTGACAATGGTACAAACTAGATAGTATGCAAATTACTATTATTATTATTGTTACAACTAAAATCTTATTTTGGAAATCTGAGCACTGAACTTTCATTGCATTGCTGACTGCTTGAGCTTCTTTTTAGCAAATGTGTCTCTATTACGGACAGTATTGGTTTAGAGGCAAATTTTAAACTTAATATGGACGAACAGTTATCCTACAATGTAATACAATGAATTTTGCACATTTTAAAATAAAGGACTCTGCTCATTTTGTCTACAAGAGTATAGAAAAAATTGTTCGATGGCGAGATGAAAGAAACAGGACAAGTTTAAAAATTCATAAAAACAAACTTATGATGAATCAAAATTTTTCTACGACAAAAAATTAATTTGCAAAGTATAGGTTTAGAGGCAAATTTTAAACTTAATATGGACGAACAGTTATTCTAGAACGCGATGCCATGAATTTTGCAAATTTTAAAATGAAGGACTCTCCTCATTTTGTCTACAAGAGTATTCAAAATTGTTCGATGGCGAGATCAAAGAAACAGGCCAAGCTTAAAAATTAACAAAAACAAATTTATGATAAATCAAAATTTGTGTACAGCAAAAAATTAATTTATTATGCAAAGAAATATTATTTCTACTACTTCTATGATTGTGGGAATATATTTTCTGCTAGTATACCATATGATTTTCACCTATAATATTATAAATACAATATTTCATCTGTAAAAAGTTGACCACTCTACTTCAGAGATCAAAACGCCCTGTCTGAAACTAGCCTTCTTTTGGTAAAAAAATACCAGAGATAGAAAAAAAAATACGCTTACGGATGATGGAAGACTAGCGCTGAGATCGGCGTTTTCGGCGAATACCTGAAGCAGTAACGCTAGATCGCCCCTATTAACGGCCTCTTCTAATTCGTAGAGTTTCTCCCTTTCCGATTCGCACGTCCTCATAGCGAATCGCTTTTCCACGTACTTGGCCCTTATAAAATTAAGTCTCTCGTCCCTAGAAACATTTTCTTATCGTAAAAAACTGTTACTCAGAAAATTTAGTGCTTACATCGAACTGGACGGCTCGAGTTTATCGTTTGATGACAACTGAGCTTCCATGATGTCATTGAAATTATGGTTGGTCATAAATCTAGCGAGGACCAACTGACTAGTGCCGACATTATCTAACGTTAACGATTGTATCCGAGATATATGAACGCCTAAATCCCTGTGAATACCCGAACACTCTATACACACGATAATTCCGAAATTGGTCGATAACCATGTGGCGTCTGAAACGAAATCAAATGAATTAAATTGAAATCGCGAAAAAATTAAGCCTATATCGGACCGTTTTGTGAATTGCAATCGCAACATCTATCGTTTCCCGGTATTTTCTGTATATATTTTATTATGGCCTGTTGCAGTTCCATGAAACTGTGGTTCACTTTATCACCGTCCGTTTTGCTGCTATCGTCGAACGCTTTCATCAACGCCATTTCCTTACAATTTATTAATACTGACATCCAGGCCCTTTGGTCCGCATCGTCCTCGGCTTGGAAATGATAGGTTCGATTATCTGCGGGATGGAAGAAGTCGGTACAAATAACCTACCGCGAGCGTTTCAAACTTACACGAAATCAAATCGAAACCCCTTTTGTCGTCAGGAACCATTTTGATTTGGCAAGTGAGCAAATTGACCCTTGTAGGCGCTTTACTTTCGTCGGCGTGGCATATTTCCAGGTACCCTTCAGCCTGAACCCTGCACTTTCTCTTCTGCCACACCCGCCTCATTTTGCCCTCCGATTTTTTCAGTAAGTGGCCCGTTCTAGTGACCCCGTGGTGCTTGTCTCCCTGCAGTTGATGCAAGGAGTACCCTGCCGCACCTTTATCAATTTGTGAACCGGTCTCTTTTTCGATACTGGGAGTCGATTTGATGAGGTTCCTGAGGTCTGTCAGTTTTCGCTTCTCATCGTCGTGTGCCTGCCGAATTTTCTGCAACTTAACGCTAAGGTCCGCCACGTAATTGCCGAAATGCTCTATGGTCTTGAGTCCGTCTTGAAAATAACTGCACAACGGTAAATTACAAAATTATTATCGTCACACATCATATCTTATAGCAGGGACACTTACTTGGTTTGGGCGTGATAGTACTCTACTAAGCTCTGAAGAAGGTCGATTCCTTTCTTGGTTTTTATTTCATTGTACTTTATTAGGTACTGGAAACAAATGGGTATGTCAATTATGTATAATATTAGATTGCGTTATAAACAGAAACTGAACAAAATCGATATTTAATCGCAATTTCAAGACTGGACGAGAGTCAAAATAAAAGAGTTCGCAGAACAAAAAATTGTTTGCTTGACGAGGACATGGTTAGCCAAAGTCAACTAAACGATGAAGAGGAACAACGAAATTGGAAAATCCTGGAGCAGATTGCATTCATATCGATCGAAAACGTAAAATAAAGCACAGCACACAAGTGTGCCAGACTTCGGCAGCTTAACACTTCCATGATAATTAATACGGAAATAATTAATAATTAACACATAATAATGAATATATCTGGATAATAATAAAAAGACAATAGCGACTTAATACACTACCGGGCAATATCTGGCGGCGCCCCTCTTAATCACGACAACTTCACTCCTACAAGAGAGATTAGGTTAATTAAAATTAACCACACGACGGAACTGAAAAATATAAACACGGAAAATTGGGAAAAAAATAGAAAACAAAGAGAATCATTATGACGGGGTGGAAATATGAACAAACCGTCTAGCAATATTAACTATGAAATTAACGTGTTAAAGACTATAGGGTCCAAGTCATACTGAGGGTACAATGCAGAGTTTTACAGAGCGCACCGTTGCCAGTATCATTCAGTAACAATCTGATCCGGTCCCAAACAAATTTAACCGCTTGTGTCTAAATTTTATCTAAAAATTTTGACTTTACTGTACATCAGTGACATTTTTATTCTTGGTCGATAAAATTTACTCTAATAATAAATTCATCTACGCTGTCTTTCTTGGGGATTATTAGCGGACCACATATCCTTTTCGTTTTTTTCTATGACATATTTAACATAATTATTCAAATTCTCTTCATCATCATGCTTCATCTATTAACAAAAGAACATTCCCACATATCGCTTACTTGTTTCCGTACCATCCCGATAGGGTTAAGCTACGGTGGTACGTAAAGAAAAATTTGGCAAACCCTTATCAACTTGAATAATTTTATAAATTGCAATTAAAGTGGGGGGAATGGTTTAAAAAAAATCGTTATGAACAATTTGTTTTTCTTGGGAAAGGATTTTTAAATTAGCTATTATTCTGTTCCGCTTCTTTGTTCATGTTAAAAATTGAGAAAGAAAATAAATGAAAAATTTCATATTTGGGGGGTATTATAAGCCATTGTGACGAACTTGCTTCAGTCATAATTACCTCATTAAACTAATCCAATAAAACGTAAGCTTAAACTGAAGTACAACCGTCTGTATAAAGTTAATGTTAAGAAATTCTCTGTTAGAAAATTCAAACTGTCTAGTAGAAGTTGTTTTTCCAGCTACGGTTTTCATTCAACTGAAGAATTTTTGTCCCATAACCCATTAATATTAATGTTTTTATTGTTATAACAAAATAAATAAGAACTAGAAGTTTAGATTTTCACGAAATTATATATTTTCACACGTCCTAAAATTTATATTGGACAAACAGGTAGATCCTTCAAGAAACGCATCAACGAACATAAAAGAGCATATAAAAACAATGGTCCAGATTCTAATTACACACATAAACACAGAAAAACACATTTTTGGCGACAATTTTGATATTTTACATAAAGCCACAAAAAGGAGAACATTAAATTTATTGGAAGCCATGGAGATTAACAAAATGAGACATTCAAATGTATTGCTTAACGCTCAATTAGATTTAAATAAGTCTCCATTATTAAACTTAATTTCTCACAATAACATTAATTAAGGTTCTATTAGCATTTTTTGGTGTATATAGTAGCAGCTGGTTTGAAAATATATATGTGTTGTCGAAACAATTGTCATGTGAAAATATATAATTTCGAGAAAATCTGAACCTTCATTTCTTAGTTATTTGGTTAAATGGATTTTCATCAAGTAGAAGCCACCTCAGTTCAATTTATTGTTATACTATTACATTTTCACTTATTATTGGCATGCTGTCATTGTTACTGTATCTTTATCTATTTCATTTACTTATTATTTTTTAGTGTATAATTCCTGCTGTATATATTTTGTACTCTGTGTCAAATATTTTAAGATTTGTTGTTGTTCAACTTTACAAATAAACGGTCAATAAACGGTATCTATTTTCCTATCTATTCAGGTTTTATTATCTATTATAGAAAAAAATTTCAAACATATTATGATCTTTGTATGAGTAATCTCCCATTTGAAATACATTGCCGATGTTACCCACCCTGCATTCTCAATATGACTTGGGCTATAGTCCATTGTTGACAAGTCGTACTCTCTCTCGCATGTGCATATTTTTAACTAATAGTCCACTCTTCTCTCTTCTCTATAGGGAAGGAATTAGCAGGAAAAATTAATAAACCGCAAAGTCCTAAACCGACAAGTTATAAACCGTCAAAACACTTTGTTATACGCAATACCACTACAAACGAAGTACCGGAAATAATTAAAGAGCTTAAGTCAGGAAAGACCGTTGGGATTGATGGAATAACACCAGACATTATTAAACATGTCAATGAAGAAATAGTATTATCATTATCTAATCTGATTATCCATATTTTAACAGTTGGCACTTGTCCATCTCACTTTAAACTCTCTGTTGTAGCTCCAATATTTGAAAGCGGCAACAAAAAACAGATGGCAAACTACAGGGCAAAGTTTTTGAAAAAGTATTAAAACTAAAACTAACGTCAAAAATTTATGGAAGTCTGAACAAAGGTAAACTTTCTTTATGCATATTTCTAGATCTCGCAAATGCCTTTGACACCATTGCACAAGTGAACAGAGACGAGATACCGGAATTGATTTGACTCTTTCATTCTTTTAATTAAAGACTTTGTTCTATATATATATATATATATATATATATATATATATATATATATATATATATATATATATATATATATATATATATATATATATATATATATATCTGTATTTTGTATTGTAGTTATAGAGCAGAGAGTTTCTATTTAGAGTGGATAGTATTTATTATTTGATGATTATTTTCTGTTTACTGATGTTTATTTTGGTTTACAGGTCCTTGCGACTACGGTGTTAGTGGAACTAGGGTGATTGTTTATTTGGGGAAAGTCATGGACAGGCGTTGCTTAAGTACTGAAGATATTGTTTTGTAATATCTACTAATATTAATAATAACAGGGACTAAATAATTAAAATGAAGAAAGCCAACAACAACGATTGGCCACGGTCAAACAAATAATGGATTGCATTCTCTCCTGAGCTATTGTTAGGTGAGTTAGTTGAGTTAAATAAACGAAAATTGCGACAGAATTTATTATATCATAATTGTTAGAAATTGGGAGTTTTAAATAAACCGTCTGGATAGAAGAAATATTTTCTAACAATCTTTTAAAAAAAAATCCCCCCCAAAAAAAAAATGGCGGCGACCAAACAACGACATTGTTGGCGATATATCGACGAATTGACATCGTTATTGACCTGGTGCGATAATTTGACGATAAGAATTTTACCTCGCACATCTGGAGCTGAAACAGTCTCCTTTCCTTTTCCATCTCGTCGGCAATTTCAGCGGCCGTGATCTCCGATCGAATTAACCCGGCATCCTTGGCCTGTTGTTTCTTTTCCTTCTCGATTTTAGCGTACTTGCTCTCGTAATCTTTCCATGCCTTGTCGAAAGGCCTTTTGAGGTCACCCTTCACGCCCCTCAGATCCCCTTAAAAAAAAATCACCGAAAATTCTAAACGACGTCCTAACGCGTTGAAGCCAAGAAACCGATCGAAGCAGGATTGACGAACACAGAAAAGAAAATGAACTTTATCGGACGATGCTAGTGCCACATATGTGCTGCTTTTCCAAAACTTACCCGCTATTTTACCCCATTATTTAAAAAATAAGCGCGCAGTGAAATGGAAAGTAACCAAATAAATGAATAATAAAAATGATCTCGTGAACTTCCATTTTATTTTTCGGTCTTTTCTTGTAAGGTTATCAAAATTTGGTTATTATTAAGATCTTGAAATATATCTCAATTTTCTACTTAATGGTTATTTTTAAACAATGTTACTTTTATATATAAAAGTTCGAAATTCCAATTAATATATATTTAATTTTGATTTCTAGCTCTTAACACTCTTCAGTAGATGCAAATTTTAAAGATAAGTATTGGCATAGCACACATACACACATACACATATTACTGACCCACTCAGTCGAAGGTGATCTAAATAATTGTAATCATAGCGACAATTTTGTAACTGTATAATTGTATGGAGATTGATGAACAACGTTTTCAACATAATTCCTTAATTTCCTGTTTTTTTTTGAAAAATTTCAAAACCAAAAAGCCAATGAACCACTCATTTGAAATGACAACCCCGCTTAGAAATGTCGGAGACGACATTCGTTTTAGCTGAAATTATTTACGTAAATAAGAATTGTACTTTTGGATATTAGAAGCCTTTAAAACACAGAAATACAACCTTTTTTGTGAAAATATATTATTTCCACTTTCCGGACTTCAGAATAGCCCAAATCAGTTACATTAAAACTGTATTCGAATAGTGGTTGTTATTTTAAGCATCTTTATTGTTAAAAAGTGGAGGACAAAGCATTTTTTCCTATTGTTTAATGAGTAAAAGGCAGAAAAGATAGGGTATTTAGAAATTACTTTTTTCCGCAGTATAATTCTTTATGTTTAGAATAAAAAAAAGGTTTGGTAAGTTTCAGTTTTAATGTTATTTCAGTTATTCTAAAATCTGGAAAATGAAAATAGCTCATTTCAGCTAAACGAAATTTTTCAGGTATCGAGTTTAGATTAACGTCAAAATTCACCAACTTCACAAACAATTTGGAAAATCGCTCATCACACATACACATATTACTGACCCACTCAGTCGAAGGTGATCTAAATAATTGTAATCATAGCGACAATTTTGTAACTGTATAATTGTATGGAGATTGATGAACAACGTTTTCAACATAATTCCTTAATTTCCTGTTTTTTTTTGAAAAATTTCAAAACCAAAAAGCCAATGAATCACTCATTTGAAATGACAACCCCGCTTAGAAATGTCGGAGACGACATTCGTTTTAGCTGAAATTATTTACGTAAATAAGAATTGTACTTTTGGATATTAGAAGCCTTTAAAACACAGAAATACAACCTTTTTTGTGAAAATATATTATTTCCACTTTCCGGACTTCAGAATAGCCCAAATCAGTTACATTAAAACTGTATTCGAATAGTGGTTGTTATTTTAAGCATCTTTATTGTTAAAAAGTGGAGGACAAAGCATTTTTTCCTATTGTTTAATGAGTAAAAGGCAGAAAAGATAGGGTATTTAGAAATTACTTTTTTCCGCAGTATAATTCTTTATGTTTAGAATAAAAAAAAGGTTTGGTAAGTTTCAGTTTTAATGTTATTTCAGTTATTCTAAAATCTGGAAAATGAAAATAGCTCATTTCAGCTAAACGAAATTTTTCAGGTATCGAGTTTAGATTAACGTCAAAATATACCGCAAGGAATATTTACTTTCTGAAACAAACCGCAGAGAAAAAAGGCGGAAATACCTACGTCCGACATTTTGATATGATTTCTCTCAGTGTAAACTACCGGCGGTTCAACGATGTAGAAACGAATATATTATCTCGGCATATAAATGTTATAACAAAGTCCGCGATAATTCGCGTCCTAATTATTTCCAGGAAACTGTTGCTAAATTTTATTCGCAGTAATTTACTGCTAATTAACAAACTTCCTCCTGTATCGATTCCCGTAGATGGAAGAAAGAACAAAAAAAAATTGCAAAATGTATGCCGGCAACCGGGGTTGACGACACACGAAGTGCAAACACTCGGGCATTTGTTTATTTAAGCAAGTAGTTTATTTATATTATTCCTTTTGTCATGTGGCTGCGGCTGTGAGACAAGAGAATTTAAACATTATTTATTTTTCTTTGCCGCTAATCTATCCCGACATAATTCGATTGAACGTAAAAATATGCTTGAAACGAGCTTATTATAGAGCAATTTTCTACGGGCTTACCTTTTAATAAACTATCTAAAGGAAACATAACTATGTTGTTTAAGTTCTGCATCAACGTTTTCATTAGTGCCGAAAGTTCTTTCGTCACAACGGAAAATTTCACGAAAGCATTCCCGATGGTTTCTTCGTGTTCCTTCGTAATCGCATTCTGGCCGATCTTTTCCAAAGCTTTGACCAGGTACGACTCGTTATCTACGTGACCTAAAAAATAAGAAAAAAAACATATTAAATTAAACTTTAAACATTCTCTATACAATTTGTGCATTACACAAATTAATAAATAAATAATTTATTGCTCAAACATGTATAAACAATACATTTAAAATTGTCAGTATGAGTTTTGGAAGTAAACATACAATGTATATAACAAACAATTTACGCATACACAAACAATCCAAAATTCTTTATAGTTATACAGTGAAACCTCTCAATACGGACACCTCTATTAAGCGGACACTCCTCTTTAAACGGACATGTTTTTTGGAACGAAATATTTGCCTACCCTTTTAAAGTCTGTTCATAGATATAAGAAAGTGACTAACTGATACGAATTAAGGAAAGACCCGGGCAAGCTGTAAGAATGAAAAATGGCCGAACAGGTTTATGTTTAAATCTAAAATAAAATTACAAATTATTTTTATTACCTACTTAAATTACTTAAAATTATTCACATAATATATCATTTTCAGTCAAGTTTGTTAAAGCAAAAAACAATAAATATGCGTCAGACTAATATCTTAGAGTTTGTAAATAAATAATTAAAGTTCAGTCACACATTTTTTTCTATAGTTTTTTGTATGTTTTTAAAGAAATAAACGTAATACATATTTACTATTTATGTTGATTTTTTTTCATGCACCTCTAATGAGCGGGCAAAACTGGAGGAACAGTGACTGTTCCGTAAAAATATTTTTTTTAAATTCCATCTGACAGATTGAAGGGAGAGTTGGTATATTCATTTTTTTAACTGGTCGCTTACAGTGATCCTTATTTTGTGCACAACATAAAATTGGAACAATCTTTTTTTGAATTTTAAAGATTATATCTGCCTCTGAAGAGTCTACCCACAACAATATGCAATATGCTATATAATTTCACTGTTGATGTGTCCGAAAGGTACCCAAACTGACTCTCCATAAAACCTTTATTTTTAATGAAATACGATACAATTCTTTCTTTTACCAAAGCCTCAAAAATTTTGGAAAATACTTACAGGACAGCAATAGGACGAAAATGCTCTCTTTCTTAATACGACATAGATAGATTTATTTAGCCATTTTTTACATAAAAAGTCTTTACAACAAATGGAGCGTCTCTAGTACACAAGAAAAAAGTACAAAAAAAAATTTATGCATGAAAGCAATATGACAAAATATAACATAAAATAGACATACACTATAAAAGTACAATACATAAATTATAAAGTGTAAAGACGATGGAATCTAAAATTTAACAGAAACACATGTTGATCTAAAATTCGTATTAAAAGGTATTAAAAACACCCTTTGAAATAGAACGATAAACACTTATAACAACTGTAGGCAACACAATACCACAGAATTCGGCATGCCAATCTACACAATATTTATCAAGATCTAAATGCTTCACACTTAATATTATTTTTTACATATATTGCACAGCCACCTTTGGTGGTGCTTTTCCTACAGTAGTAACTCTGCAGGATGATTTTTTCAAGATTTACACTTTTTAGAACGTCTTCACTATTTACATGATCCATAAGGAACAGAGACAACATATCTATCGATCTTGCCTCGCCGGCCCTGCATGTTCGGGTCAAATATTTGGAGAGCCCCACGACCACAAGGAGTCCCAGCTACTTGTTGGAGTGTACCCCCGCAGGAAGAGAAAAAACGTTTAATCAGGATCCCGGACGGCCAGATGGATGGATCCAAAATTTTTGCGGCGTCATAGTCAGATACAGGTCACCTTGAAGGATGCATAATATTCCGGATATTTTGAATTTACTTTGTCCACACGAGCGTTGTTAACTATTGGAGTGAGGTAGGCTTGGATATCTTCTGTCGCTGTCTCCGGATGTAGTTTCGTAACATGAAAGCTAACAAGTCTCTCGGCAGCCTGTAGTTTGCATTTACAGACTTCCTTTTTTTAGACGATGTAGTTCTGCTCAATCCCCTTGAAGTATTACGCTCTCCAACATCGGAGCACTTCGTTTCAGTTAAAGCGCTATGGACAGCTATCGCGACATCGCTTTTGGTGACAAATTCGGGACTTCTATTTTTCTGCCGTACTGACTGATTGTCGTTCGCAGGTAGGCTGTTGTTTACGCCAGCTGCTTCGGCAAATGTGGGTTTAGACCGCCTGTTTTTGTCGACTGTGTGTCTATCATTTCGCTTGAGGAGAGCAATTTGATCCTGCAAAGCGGTGATAGCAGTTGCCTGATATTGGATAATTAGATCTTTCTGCTTTAGCAGCTCCTTCAAGTGTGAAATCTCAAGATCCAGTTCGACCGGACCAAAGTCCGGTCGAACTGGAGGAGTGTCTTTATCCTCGTTTGTATTTGTAGAGATATTTTCGTTTGTTTTAATATCGGAGCAACAGTCAATTTTGTCACCATCGAGATTTCTAACATGTTTCAGTTTTTTGACGCAAGATTTGTGCGACACCGTATGACATTTCACACAAACTAAACCAGATCTAGCCACACTGCCGCACCTCTTGCATGGATTATTATTTCGTGCAATCTGCATTTTGATAGATGTTTCAAAAAATAAACGGTAAACAGTAAACTCACTCGGCAACGCTCCGTGTAGTCTGTCTGTGGCCCAGCTTGGAGCAGTGCAGTTGCAGAGAGTGCGACTCAAAACAGGAAAAAAATTGACTCCCGTGACTCACAAACACAATATTGAATACCTTTCAACTACTGAAGACTGTTCACATAGTTTTCACCAATTAAAACTTCCTAAAAATCCTGAACTAACTAGATATGGACGCAGTTTTTAAAATACTAATTTTCCCCCTTTTTCTATCCCCATCCTGCTCCTTATATCTGAGTGTACAAAACCAAAAGTGCTGAAAGCTCGTTCTACTGACACTAAGGAGCAGTTGAGCACAGGAACTGTTTTATTATTGCTAGCTGCTTCGCAATTTCTGGCTCATCCTTTTGTGATGTCCTGTATTCCATTTACGTTTTTTATTATTTCATCCGAAAACTTAATTTTTTTAAACGGTTTTGCTTTTGAGGGTTCAACATAAGGGCTATAAAATGATATAGCGTGAGTGCCTGCTTATATCGATCCTGAATTTTGTGTATCCTTTGATAAAGGTATTTCTAAAACATTCTCGAAGATATATTGTAAATGTTTCAAAATCCTTTAATTTTTTTTTTCAACGTTTCGATCACAATGCGGACTTTATCAATAATCTAAAATACATACAAATGTTATATAAATTAAATATTTTATATAAATTTAAAAAAATATTTACATTCCTTAGTGATATCGTAAATGAAATAAACAAGTACAAAGAAGAAATATGAAACAATTTTTTAATTCATTCAAAATATCCCTAATGTAAGGTAATATTTGTATGTATTTTAGATTCTTGATTGTGATCGAAACGTAGAATTTTTTTCACTGCTCTCTGTCCTGTTTTGAGTTTTTTCATAATAAAAATTCATTCGGCTAAGGCCACTAAGTTTTACAGTATAATAATGTTTTATAACTATTTCGCATTAAGAAAAATAATATTTATGGTATATTTAGCTCTGCTACATTGACAAACAGTCGCCGAACCTTATTTCAAGTTCCTTTCCGGTATTATCCAGAAAACTTTTGTTTTTTTTTTTTGTATGCTATATACGATTGGCATAAATAATTTCCCATATCGATAATGTTTTTTTTAAAGAAAGTTTGATTAAACTTTGACTTCCGGATCTATTGCAATGATTTTATGCTAGCTATACTTAAACAGGATGTTCCGAATGATGAATTCAAAGTAAAATAACAAATCTTACAAAAGTAAATCATATGTTTATAATGCTTATAATACAAAAAGAAGTATAAGAAAGAGTACATTACGTAATCCAAAAGAAAAACAAAGGCCAAACGAACAAACCAGACTAATTGCGCAATTTTATGGAACAGAAACAAACACAACTCCAACTCCAAATTGTTATTATCTTTTCATTTATCTTTTTTTTTCTTGTCATCATGTACATTTAAGTTAGTTTTTAGTTTAGTTTTATGCAAAATTATTATTATTAATATTATTATTATTATTATTCGAATAACTTGATTTTTAATGAAAATAAAAAACAATAGGTACGGGTATTTTTTATTCCGATAAAACGCCATTATTATTAAATGTATTAGAACGATTCAACTGATAACGAACTGGTAACGATACTGAAAAAAAATTACTAAAATTCTAAAAATTTGCTTGTCAATTTAAAATGCGCATTTTATTTTATTTTTTCTTTAAGCTAATGCCTCATTAATGAAAGAGCATTTTCAGTGTTCATAACCTACCTACGGCACCAGAATGGCTTTATTAGAAGCCGCTTTTAAATGTTCCGTGGATTCCTACTTATAGATGCAATTTAATATTTATTTCTGAGACGTTCTCGTACAGCAGAGAAACTCATGCACCTAAATTTGACACATTAACCTGTATTTTGCTCGATTTCCACACACACGTAACTCATTTTTTTTTAATTCAACAATTCAACTTTATAAACTTATATTAATATGCAAGTTAACAATATGTATCATAAAAAATTACAATCGAGACCGCAATAAAACTCGAACAAAGCAAAGTAATCAAAGTTTTGTTGTTGTTATTAGGGAATTTATTTTAATTTCTTTTTCTGAAACAATGTACAATATACTTTCTTTAGCATATTCTAAACTATTCAAAATTAAACGCATATTTTGTCTTTTTCAAATTTGTTTTTACGAATATACTCTAACATTACTTTATATAAAACTTCTGGATTCCTCCTGCTTCGGTTTTTGTTGACTCGAACTTGCTAACGTTTCGCCAATCATCCTGTTGGCTTCTTCAGAGCTTGTCTGAAACTGGCTCGTATTTTACTCTGTATAAGTAGTTATATATTGTTTGAGGGGGGGGCATAAACAGTAGTGGTTAAGATTGTTAGGTTGCTTATAGATTTCTATAGACTCTCGGATTTTTCGTTGGTAGAAGAATTGATTATATGTTCT